TGCTGGGCTGTGTTGTAATGGCAGCAGAATATCAGCTTAATAATGCTTACAATTCTCCTTGTGACAGATTGCAACTGATGTGTTAAAGCCCATATTATTTTACTATTAAAGAAAAATTGATTCTTGCTTATGTGGAATGATTTTGCCTTCATAAGTCACACTTGCTTGCTGTTCATGCCGACTTTAAATTGAAATTTGGTTGTTAAGGGAAATGAATAAGGGAAACAAAGATGAAAAATAGAGAATAAAATAAGCAGCGGGGTGCGGGCGTGGGGGAGTCCAGTTCACACTGCTTGTCTGGACATAAAAGATGGACACGGAACTCCTGCTGGGAGCTCTTTAAATCTGGAATTTGAAAAGTTTTGTTGTGCTCTGTGCTTTATTCAATCATTCCACATAGATGACGTCCAATGTTTTATTCAGAAATGTTGCTCATTAAATGAACTGCATAATACTGCATCCATCAAGCTCGAATTATCAAGAGGTAAATAAAGCCTTTGTCTCAATGGACTGATCCAGGGCTGCCTGAACCAGAAAAAATCTGTACTGTTCTGCTGTTCGTTGACTGATCAGTCCTCACCAGTTTGAAATGCTGGTAGCCCAGAAATGCAGTGTTCAATTCTCTGGCAGGGCAAACCGTTGTTTCCTTATTCCACACGCCTCTGTTTACATAGCAGGAACCCAGTTGTTAGTCGATTTACAGATCACTTTTTCGGGGGTAATAAGCCTAAACAAAATATGGTCACTCAACCCTCGACTGTTTGTGGGACACTGCTGTGCTCAACTGGCTGCCTTGTTTTGTCCACAAAATGCACAGTCAATTCACTTGACAGTATATTCATGTGAAGCGCTTTGAAACGTCTCGAAGATGTAATACGACGTTATATCAAATTTACGGATTATCATTATTATCATTCCTTTTGATATTAATTGAGATGCTCCGGAAGGCTCAGGACAGAAGCAGAAATCTAAACTGATGGGATTTCATGGGCTATAAAAATGTAGATAACACCTAACCCATTCATTTTAAATCGAGGTATCTTAGTGCATTAACCAAGAGGTAAGTCACTGGATACCAATGAAGATGAATGGGAAAGAAGAGATATATTCAGATGTAGCAGTGGTTATCATCCTTATAGTTAGGGTGAGACTTGGAATTTAGTGGACTGAAAGCAGAGAGGGAAGGGAAGACTGAGGAAGGTGAGAAAGAACCTACAGCCAGATATTACGACGAGGTTTGGAAGACAAAAAGCTTGTAGGACGGCAGGATTGAAACTTTTGAAGAAGACGGACAGACGATTTGGAGGAACAATGATCATAGTCTGGGGAGATACTTGGTTTGTAAAAGAAAAAGGTTGCAGTGGGAATAAGTTTATTTTCCTGCCAATTTTGTGCTTTTACACATATTGTAAGGTCTGTTCAACTGTCCCATGTCCCATCTGTGTCTCATTACTCAGCGTTGAATTGAAGGGTAAGCTGTCTTGTAAAACCCACACCAACATAGGAACGCCCTAAACCCATTTCACATCACGACGATACTCAATAAGGCATCTGCTAGTTATGAGAATATTTTAAACACACTCTGTAAACCGAGTCCTTTTCAAATATAAGAATTATGAATTCGACAGATTAGTAGATTTATTTTCGTCTGTCCAATGCTTGACATTATTCCCAATGGCCGTAGACTTCTCACATTTTCTCTCTCCCTATTTCTGTTTCACCATTCTCTTTCTTCTTCCTCCCGCCACCTCTCTCCGATTTATAAAATGCTGGAGAAAGAAATCGGAGAGACACTAATACATTTAGGACAGACGTGGCCTAGATACAAGCAGGAGATGCGGGTGGCCAAATGAGACTTGTCAGACTACAAATTGAAAACGCCAATTTCACTTAAACTTCAGGGGTTTTCGTGCTAGGTTTTGTGAGTTATTTGAAGTGTAAATTAATGGCCTCCTCCGTAACCCACCGATGCCAATATTTTTTCTAGTTGAGCAAGAATTAGGGACGGGGAAGAAAAACTCAGTATCTAAAATTTGAAGGGATTCTGACAAGATACAAATACTGCAGATTCTGGAGTCCTGTAGTGTATTGGCTAGAGCACTCGCCTCGCAAGCGAGAGGACCTGTGTTCGATTCCCGAGCCAGGCGAAACCTTAGACAAGTTTCCTTACTCCACACCCCTCCATTTACCTAGTAGTAAGTAGGATCCGGTTGTTAGTCGATTGGTGGATTGCTAACTGGGGCACTAATCCTTTTCAAAAAAAAGTAGTCACTCTATCCACGACTGTTTGTGAGACACTTCTGTGGCTAAATATACAGTCAATTCACTTTACAGTATATTCTGTGAAGTGCTGTGACCAAGATGTTGTATGAAACAAACTAGACAAGAAATTAGGGATTTATTTTTCTCTTTTTTTCCCCCTTCTCACTTCCTTCGCTCGCCACCACTCTATTCTCTCTCCCTTTTCTATTTACTCTCTCTCTCACTCCTTGCCTCTCCCTCTCCTTTCACTCTCCTCTGTTGCTCCTTCTCTCGCCACTTCCTGCCTCTGTTTCTCCCTATCTCCTCCTTCGAACGGTTCTTAAAGCTCCTGAATAGTCGAAATCGCCCATTACACTGAGTGACTGTATCTCTGCTCACTGTTATCAGTACTCAGTGCATTCCAAGCATGAATCAGTCATTTAATCTTTTCTGACATGGTTGTCATTTTCTTTAAAGTGGGTTTGGCTTCCACTCCAAAGGAGGTCATTAACTGTCAGCAAAAATTCCAACTTCACCGGTGCTATCGATCCACAGTTAGGCAGTGTGTACTGAGGTGTGACTGGACAACTGATTTAAGAGGAGATGATTTAAGAGTCATTGGATATGGCTGGTTTAGACCTCGTCTTCACACTTTATTCTACTTTTGAACCTATTGTCATCTTAGCAATTGACTCTTTACCGAATCTTAGGCTTGAAGTTATGTCTTAAGTCAAAGAGTCACTATTTCCTTCACTAATTTTTAGTTGAATGGCACAGTGGTGCTAGGCATTGGGCACGAATGTGGATTATGTAACTGTAAAGACGATCAGAGTTAGGATGAAGGTGATGGGTTTGCAAAGCCACGTGCAGAAGGTGATAAGGGCTGTGTGATCTTGATCTTGTGGAAGGTGGGGCCGGGGAGACAGCGAGCACGGGTTTGGAAAAGTTGAGTCCGGAAATGACAAAATCATGAGTTAGTTCTTTGGGCTGCATTGAGGATGAGGTAGTGGTGGAGGTGGGTGATGTTGTGGAGATGAGGTCAAATAAAAAACAAGTTATTCTGACATTTTGTAGTGATCCAGGGAGGCCATGTTTAGAGGATAGTATGGTGTTGGGATGGGGAACATAAGATTACACTGTTGTAGTTTTTGTGACAATGGGATTGAGCCACATTTTTGTAGCAGAGCCCAACCAATCTAGTACATTGCAGTGCAATTCATGTTTATTTTAGTGTTTTTCACGTTGGGAAGATGTTGCAAAGTGTTTTACACCACTGGCTGGATGGCCAACTTAGGAGGGGGCGGGGGAGTGGGTTAGGAACTGAAGAGGGTGGGGAGAAACCTAAATAATAATAATAATAATAATCCTTACATTTGATATAGCGCTTTTCACGTCGGGAGTACGTCCCAAAGCGCTTCACAGAACACACTGTAAAGTGAATTGACTGTATATTTGTGGGCGAACGCGGCAGCCAATCGCGCACAGCAATGTCCCACAAACAGTCGTGGATTGAAAATGACCAATTTATTATTGTTTTTGGTTTTTGGAGGGATTATTATTAGGCTCTGTGTGGAGTAAGGAAACTTGCCCGAGGTTTCGCCCTCTGCCTGGAATTGAACTCCAATTGAACTTGCAAAGCGAGTGCTCTAACCACTGAGCTACAGGACTCCACGAATACTGCATATACAAGCGCTGAATTCAAAAAGAGGGGGGTTTGAGAATAGAGCCTTGGGGTACGTCACTGGTGACCTTGCAGGGGCAAGAGTAGAAACTGTTGAGGCAGGAGAAATTGTTGGAACATTTTCCCCTCCCTGACATTTCATAATCATAAGGAGGTGATGCTGATGTGTTCTGTGTTATCACCACATTGTTCACACTGTGTGAAAGAGTTGTAAATGCTGTGAAGGGCTAACACAGATCATTGAGCTAGAGAGCGGCTGAGGAGGTTGATTGAATCTCATTGGAAAAAGCTGAGCTGGGTCATGATCTAAATTTTAATATCATGATGAGGAGATGTAGAGAGTTTTTTTTCAGGTTCTTTAACGTTAGGAAGCAAAATTATACTTAATGTAAGTTAAGGCTAACCTGCCCAGAAAAATACAGTGGTTACTTTACAGTGAATCCTGTGAAGTACTGGGAGACGTCCTCGCAATGTGAGAGGTTTATATTAAATGTAAGGATTGTTATTGTTATTGATAATAAATTTATCGGAAGGATTTGAATGGATCCTTGATCGTTATTAATCCTCGAATCTGCTTCACAGAGCACATCCATTAGTTATTTCTCAGCCTTCTCTTGTTACAGACACTTGCTCTTTCTGTCACTCTGGTAATTCACCCAAGACTGTTATCCTCTCGGCAAAAATACTCAGAATATGATCTTACCCGTCCCCTTGGCTTGGCTCCGTCGGGAGGGGAGTCGGAAATTGTAGCCACTCACTCTGCCCGTCACAGTGACATTGAGTGTAAACAAAGTCAGGACACGAAATAATGAAGATGAAATGTGTGCAGGAATTATCCATTGCTATCACTGATCCTGTGCTCAGCCTGTGTCCAGTTGCAGGGTTCACCACACCACACTGACCCAGTACGTTATCCTGACCCGAACATGTCAGAGCAGTTCGCACAATTAATCCATCTTCATGCATCCCTGGATGTGTTGGGATGAGTGGATTGCTTCACTGAATTAACGCATTTTCTAGTTGTGTTGCTAAGTGGGAGTGTGTCTAATTCACTCAGTGTCTCGGTTTTCTGTTGCAGTACTCGTATGAAGGAAACGACATCAGTGACCTGCCTGTTGATCTCTCCGTGGTCTGGAATGGAGACTTTGTCATCGACAATCCTGCCAACATTAAAGGTACAGGCTGCAGAAAATGCTAAGATGATAAACATTTTCATTTAAGCATAAGGTTTGAATGTGTTTGCCTCCATACCAGCTTTCCTCACATCTTTACTGCTGATGGTGGCAAAGTCTAACACAGTGCTTTCAATGTACTGTCCAACTGCATCTTGAGAGAGGAGACCTGATTCCTATCAGCTCACATGAACAGCACACATACTGAAGTATCACATGGTAGATCAGGGTGGGCTTATCGCTGCAAAAAGAGGAAGAGCAGGGTGGGGGTGGGGGTGGGTGGCTCCTGAACCTGAGGCTTCTTGCTGAAAGGTAAATGTTGAAGAACGTGGATGGAAAACGTTAAGTGCCAAGAATCGCCTTTGTTGTCAGGTGAAGTTGCTAAATAAAATTAAGTTTTTTTTTAATGCCTCTCGAAGAAGCACTCCTTGCTGTTTTGACAGAACTGTTCTTCCTCTGTCTCCTCCTTTCTTTCCCTCACCCCAGTACACACCAACCAGTGTAGATTCCTGTACCCCATGTTTCTCTCCTGCCCCACCCTCCTCCACCTCCCCTTCCCCCCCACCCCCCCAGAGCAGTTGAGCTGAATAGACTGGCTGTTGCAGCTGTGTTGCCATGCCACACAGAGAGGAAATGGTATTGCATGGCAGTGGTGTCTGCTTAGAAGCATGTCTGACTAAATTCTGTATTCATAAAAGCCATAACGATATTTTTCCAACCGTTAATGAGCCTAAACACAACCGCTTTACGACTTCTTTTCTCTTTAAAGACTTGCGATCCTATGGAGCCTCTGGATTTCTCAAATTGCTGTGACTCCACAGGTTACCAATTTCAGAATTAGTCGGGGCACAATTTTTCCATTGGGATTACTGACGAATCAGTGTGTGCCTTGTCGATTAAAGGGAAGCATTAAAGTTGTGCCCAGGGGAACCGGGAAAGACCGTTCAAATTCATTGCGGGGGCGTGGTGTGAGCAATCATGTTAGCCACTTGTTCTGAGAATGCTAATGTAATTAAATAATTTTTATTTAATTTACTCACTTTAATTACAGAAAGGTTACCTCAGACAGGCTAGCCATGACAGAATTGAATTAGTTGAAGATCACGGTTGATAAAGACGATTTTTATTCTGGTGAATGAAGTAACTCCTCCACCTCGTTCTCTGATTTGGTCTGCAATTTGAAACAGCCCAACGTTTCCATTCAGACACAAGGGGAATGTTGGGAGTTGGATTTGCCAGTTGTAACTATTAGCATGAATTCATCTGTCTGTGATGACTTGCTTTGGCTTAGCAAGGTGAGAGGGGAAGATGATGAGGAAGGACTTGGGTAGATCTTCGATCTCTATATTCTCAGACCATCTGAAAAAAGTGATGAAACAAGTCTTCCGGTGGCAAAATGGCTGAATTTCCCAGTTAATGTAGCAAATATGGCATTAATTTGGTGATCGCTAGCCTTGTTGGATACATGTGAGAATGTTTCCTGATGCAATTAAAAGGGCCATTGCTGATACTGAGGTTGTGAGGTGTGTTGTTAAGGACACAATGGAATGGATAGACACCAGCTTGACTTTACTCATCTTGTTGTGGATAATACTGTTCAGTGTAAAATTGGAAGCAAATTGGAGATACTTTATAACAGACTGGTGTTACAATGCCTCCAGTGATTGAGCTGTGGGTGCAGGAGCAACTGGTGACCTATTCCACCATCAAACAATTTTTTTCCGAACCATATTGGTTACAGCTCAACAGATGTTTGCATTCCTTTAACATTTTCTCCTCCTTCCACAGCCCATCTGTACAAGTGCACAGCGCTTCGGGAGAGCTGTGGGCTGTGTCTGAAGGCTGATCCGAAGTTTGAGTGCGGGTGGTGTGTGTCGGAGATGAAGTGCCTGCTCCGGCAGCACTGCCAAGCCCCTGAGAGTATCTGGATGCACCAGAGCAGCAAGAACAGCAGATGTACTGATCCCAAAATCACCAAGGTATGTCACTTCAGCTTTGTGCAGTTCCGCTCAATTGACAGCTTGCCTCAGGCCCAAACCTCCAGAAATGTTTGGCTTCCAAACACAGTGACGGCCTTACTGCTTAAATGAAAGATCAGCGAGTATCAGCTCTCGGGAGTGCTGGGGAGTAGGTCGATCTAGCTCTCATCCAAATACAAAGCCTCGCTCTGGGCTCTTGGCATCTATCACCTTCATTAAGGATAGGCACAGAAATGAGATGAGGCAATAATCCGCAGGAATTTGTGTTTACCGTGTTCCTAGCCTGGAGAAGGCTATCTGTGGAGGAGAGGAAAGTGGCTTGAATTCTGGAATGCGGGGAATATTCTGGGGTCTGTGCTTGAGAGGTTCAGCATTGAGCATATCTGAGGACGTTTCCCTCAGAAGAAATGGTAGGTGAGGTGCGGCTCGTTCAACCCAGGATGGGTTTTGCTCGGTCTACACAGAGAGTGGGCTTGAAGGGCCTGATGGATTTCCTTGATTCAAGGTTTTATTATGGTCTTAATGGTCGTCGTACAAATGGTACGGGGAGGTAACATATAACACAGACACACCATCTTCCTGTGGGTTGTACAGTCTCCAGGTTCCCTCCCCTTTATGTCATGCTCCACTACTGTCAAGCGCTGTGGGGACGCTACCCTGCGCGAGGGGCGCTATATAAACACAAGTTGTTGTTGTTCTAACTCAATTTCTGCTGCGGGAGTATGTGAGAGGCCAAGCCGTCTTGGTTCATTCTCATTCTCTCTATTTGTTTCTCACTGAGCCCAAGCTCAGTGCTCAACCCTCCTCGGCTTTCTTCCCCTTCGTCTCCTGTCCCACTGCAATCTGGCGAAAAACAAAATAGTTTATTCAAGCCATCCCGTCCGAGGTGATGCCAGGGCGACCATTGCCGCTTTGCGCTAGTTACAGCAGTAACGAGAGAATATTCTGACAGCGTGGACATTTGCGAAAAAACACACACAGCCTTCCTTTACAATGCGAGTTTCTGAACGGAATGAGGTCGGAGGATAAATGACCCAGAGAAAACTATGTTCTGTAGCCGGGAGCTCAGCCGGTCTCTGGAGTGCGGAACTTTCAGCGTTCCATTCAGCGCCAAACGTTTTAAGGTTTTCATTTCATTAGCCAAAAAAAAAAAGTCGGATTCGTTAACGTTGGACCGTGCTGAAGTGGATTCAGAGCTCACTGTATTAATAGCAGTCGGTAGTAATTTCTCTGAAAGCAATATATTTACCTGGGGATTTCCATCTGCTTTCGGCTCAGGTGTTAAGTACAGCGTTAGTGTAATAGATTGAGAAAATTCAGGCTAATCCCTCCTCAGCAGACAGTATATCTTGTTCCTCGTCAGATGCCTCTGCACCCTGCACTTGTTCCAGCCATGCCAGAGATTACAGTATTGCTCTGTATTTTGCAGTGCATCAATGTAAAGTCTTGATTCCCTCAACCAGGAGATAGTTGTGAATTTGCCCTTGCCTCCCCCCCCCCCCCAACACAGGACCTGAAGGCGACTCCAGGCCAGCTGCTTGTTAAGGGGGAGCGGAAACCCGGGTGGAACTGTTTTTTATCCAAACTGCGGCCACAAGACGTAGACAGAGGTGATAGCTATATAAAGTGATGTGATTATCCTCACTCCCGTGTCCTACCTGGGACATGTCTTCTGACCTCTAGCATCAGATGATGGCACTCCACAGCTGGTAATGCAGAATGAAGGCAGTTGTCCCAGCAGGGTGATGTTTTAAAGCAGCGAAGATCAAACTGATGTTTCAGGTGTCGGAAAACAAACACTTGTTGTCCTTGCTCGAGTGTCGTGCACAGCAAAGTCCACACAAACAGCCATGCTGTGAATGATCAGTTAACTTAAATAAAAATCATTGGCCTCGATGCCAGGAGAAACCCTCTTCTCTCTCCAGATAGCAGCCACTTGAGAAACATGCACACAGAATCCCAGTTTAACATCTCATCCACAGGGCAGCACCTCTAACAGTGTAGCCTCCCCCACCCCAGTTCTCGGACGCTAACCCTGCGTGAGGGGCGCTATATAAATGCAAGTAGTTGTTGGAGGGAAGCTGCACTGACCAGAGGTGTGAACCACATTACAGGGAAGACAAAAACTGTGTCATATAATGTATTTGGAAAGAGGGAAAGAAACAAGGTCATCGGCAATCAACATAGAGTCATTGATGGAGAGTATCAATAACGTCTAGAACATTTTTTATGTTTGTCAGAGCTGTGTTAATCTCGTCTGACACTTCCAGTTATCGGGAGGACATCCTGACAGGATTACCAGGATACAGCTTTCTGGAGCACTTGAAAATTCTCGGAATAACCACATCATTATAAAGTTATTAAGGGGCCAATTACATTGTTAGTCTCTGAGTTGTACTTTGAGAGCGCTGACTGTTATTAGAGAGCTTTGCTTTGTCCCGTTCACATTTTAATTTGTTACTATTAGTACTGAACAGGCATGAAGTACTGTGTAATGGAAGTCTTAATATAAATTAATATTGTAACTACAAGGATACTACATTGTAATTATGGAGTCTATTCATTACCAATTTTGAGGCTATTCAAACTTTGAATAATTGTACATCACAGTGTGTTTCCAGCTTATGAAGATTAATAAATTTGGTTTTCACTTTATTGACTCGGTGAAGTGCACGTCTAAAGCTACACAAAGCTTGCTGTATGCTCTCGGAATCAGGAAACGGTGTTTGTGAGAAATTGTTTAAAAGGAGAAGAAACATTCTCTCTGTTGCTTGTAACCTAGGTTTGGCTGTGCTGGAGTTACCAAATTACCTGGGACAGTTCTGATACTTTGAGAGTCAAAACAGAAAAGGTTCTCCCTTAAAACTAATCACAGATAAATTTGGAAAATATTGTGTGGCTCAGTTTCACAGCTGTCTTTGTCAGCGGACTGTGCGAATTCTAATAAAAGATTCCAGGCTTCTCCTTTAACAGATAAATGGAACTGAACCTATCGTTGTGGCCCATTCTCAGGTCAACCCGGCCTTGTCTCATGGAATTAGTGCTTCTGAGGAAAGCTTGCTGGCTTCAGTTACCTTGTGTTTAGAGCATTGCAGCTAATCCGCGGCTTGACTACCGGCTGCAGCTGTGTATTAACATGAGGACTTGGCATAAATGCCAATGTAAAATTACCCATAATTATATCATTATTGTTATTATGAATCCTTTATAGTGCTGCTCATCAGTCATAATATTTGTTTTGTCAAGTTACACCTGTCTTTCCATTATGAATAATTCTGCTTAATAAATCACATTACCATGCATTTCTATAGCCGCGAGAGCCCTGGAACATCAAACCATCTTGTTGTACAAGGCAGAACAACTTGACACAACTGACAGGGATGACCAATGTACAGTCGTGAGCTGAGGAACTGGCTTAGAGGCTTCATTGCGCTTGCACTGAAACCAGGACAGTGTGGATCCCCCATAGAGGCCAAACATAAGCATTTCGTTTCCAATTTCAGCTCATAAGATGTGGAACAGGCGTTGAATTCTAGCTGCCTCCAGAGGACGTTGGTATTCTTGGTTCTGCGTAAAATGTCTGGAAACCTAAAACTGTTCTGTGTCTCGCAACCTGAAGTAGGATACTCCTCCCGCCACAAAGTTATGAGGCTCAGTGTTATGTCATCCTCGCAAAGCTCTTTGCTAACATCTTGTGCTGACCTGTTTTCCATTTGGATCCAGTTTTATGTGTCCCTAAGGGAATTGGTGAGGTTATTCCAGACTCTTTTCCAAGGTGTTTCATGTTTTTAGACATTTCGGTGCAGGAGAAAGAGTCCAGTTCTACCCAGTCTGAGCCAAGTTCCCGTTACGAATGAGTGTATCACTCAGAGTTGCAGTGCTGCCTGGCTCAAAAATTGTGATTTGGTTTGGTGAGGCTGGAGGGCTAATTGGGAAATAAATGGTGGTGCAGAGAGAGGGTAGGTAGTTAAGGAACACTATTCAGAAGGGCTATGTTTTACTTGGCTGATGGTGTCAAAGTAGAGCCAACAAATGGATTGAATATTCAGTGTAAAGATTCTCCCCATTTAAGAGAATAATCATTTTGAGCGTAGATTTTGAATCTCCTTTCTCTTTGTTTAAACTGTTATTCTCAGCGTTTGCATAACAACAACAAGATGAATACTTGCTTTGGAAATAGTGTCTTATCACGTAGTTGAGGCATCTCAGAGCGCTTCACAGAATATATTGTAAAGTCAATTAACTGCATTTCTTGCATGACTCTCATATGTAGGAATGGTAATAACATACTTCATTTCCTGCCCAGAGATGATCAGTTCCTTGAACCAACCAAACTGTTGCATTGTGTTTCCAGCTGGTGCCAGAGACTGGGCCCAGGGAAGGAGGAACTAGACTGACAATCACTGGCGAAAACCTGGGCCTAAAATTCTCGGAAATTCGTTATGGTGTGCGTGTGGGCCTGGTCCGATGTATCCCCATTGAAGAGCATTACATCAGAGCTGAGCAGTAAGTGTGAGGGGCAGAGTTCAACATTCTCCCAATGGGATGGAAGGGAAATTGGAAAGCAAGTCGATTGGGAGTAAACTCTCTGGAAGTTCCCAATAATAATCATGATCCTTGCACACAAACAGTCGTAGCTTGACTAGACCCGGGGGAGTAAATATGTAGGAGGTGGGAAGGTGCTTTGGCTGTGAAAATAGTTCCTCTGAGTTGAAAACATATGAGTCTGGGTTTGAACTGATTCCTAAAAACTGACTGTATTTTCAGGATTGTGTGCGACATGGAGGAGGCTATCCCTAATACTCCAGCCGAGGACCATGTGAAAGTTTGTGTGGTGGAGTGCAGTGTCGACTACCAGGCAATCTCACCCAAAGTCTTCACCTTCGTGGTAAGAATCCAAAAGAATGAGCCTTTTTAATGTCTGGTCTTACTGCTGTCTTGCATTCATGCTGTCTACCGAGATAACACACCTTGCAGCAGCAGATCTCGTCAAGCACTCTGGGACGCTACCCTGTGTGAGGGGCGCTATATAAATGCAAGTTGTTGTTGTCCCTGTGCCCACACTTGCCCGTTTTACACAAACCACCATCTTAAGACAAGCAGTGAAGAAACGTTGAGGAATGTAAGAATTATCTATGTTTACATTCCTTCGTTTTTATTATCCAGGTGTCCCACTCCCTTTCACAATCTGTTCTTACCGAGAAAATAAAAAACGGGCCAAGGCTCAAACTGTGTTTATCATGTGCTGATGTTGTTTGTTTTTGATACTCCCTTTAAGTTTGTTTTTTACCCATTCCATTCGCTCTTAGTACATGCCCTGCCAAGAGCTTCTATCTGGCAGTGCGGGGCTGAGACTAGCTCCAGTTAACCTGACGTCCCGATATCATTGGTAAAAGTCCAGGAGCAGACTTGTTGCCGGCTGTGTCAGTCAGGAACCAGTGTCCAGCTCAAAGAGCAAGTGGCAAAGAAATGGTTCAATCCTTTGCCCCATCCTTCTCCGTCTTCTCCCACTCTCCCTCTCTCACTCTCTCTCTCAGTTCTTATGTCAGTCTTGCCTTTTTTTTTTGCAGACCCCAATGTTCAGCAAAGTACGACCAGCACAGGGTCCTGTGTCTGGCGGCAGCCGTGTGACTATTGTGGGCAACCACTTGAATGCTGGAAGCTCTGTGACGGTCTTCATAGGCGGAAGCGGACTGTGTCAGTTTGAATGGTAAAGATGGACAACCTTTCCCAGCTTCCGTTTTCTCTTTCGAGGCTCCCGCAGTATCCGGGAAACACCTCCACACTCCAGGAGTAACATTACATGCCCTGTTAGTGACTCCCTTTCCCATTGGCAAAGCCAGAGAGTAGTTGGGGCATTGAGTTAGAGCCATATCTCCATGGTGAGGGGGAGGAAGAATGTATGCTTTTTCTTTTGTGAATTGAGCCTTGGAAAGTGGGAAGGTTCCTGGTCTGTGCTGAGTTAGCCAATCTCAGCTAGGTCCAACGGGAAGAGTGTAGGAATGCCTCCATGGTAGACCGCTGAGGTGGGACAAGGGGAGAGAAATCAGCCAGGAATTCCTCTCCTGATGATTGTCTAATGGATCCCTGCAGGAAAGTGGCTGTGAGAGAATAGTATCAGATCAGTCAGCCAATACAGGCTCGACTCCAGCATGCAAAAAAAGTCCATTGGGATGAGGTATGGGAGAGTGGTGGGAACTGCCCTCAGCGTGCGTGGCTGGCCTTATACAGGGTGGGAGGAATAAAAGAATTTTAACAGGATAGAATAACTGTGACGCGCCTGATGTCAGTTACGTGAGATATTGGGATTCAGTACATGTCTCTGCCTGCCCAGCTCACTGATGGATCCATTCATATACCGGGTGACCAAAAAGTTGTGGTATCTACCCTATTATCCAACAAAAAAATATATATATCATAATTTCTTTTAAGATTTATTAGACCTTGTATAATGGTATCGCGACTGTTTGGTCACTCTGTATTTACGCAGTCAATCACTCACTCTTGTGTTGTTAGTTATCCTTATCACGTCTCGAAGACTCTCCTCTTCGACTGTGCCTTCGGCTACCATCCTGCCCTCCCCCCTCTCCCTCCCTCCCCCTCGGGTTCAAATCACTGACTGTCCAGCGCCTTGGGACGTCCTCCCGACGTGAAAGGCGCTGTACAAATGTCATTTTGTATCGTAATGTATCTAGGAGAAGTCCGAAGCAGATTGTCTGTGTGACGTCAAGCTCCACCCAGGGCATCGGTCCAGCAGCTATTGCGGTCAGCATCAACCGAGCTCGCCTGGTGAACCCCAACGTGAAATACAACTACACAGAAGACCCCACCATCTCCAGAATTGAGCCGGAATGGACCATAGCCAGGTGACCGAGCCTCCGGTGTCAAACCTTGCAGATCGTGTTCTGTGTGGACGGCAATATTTTTCCTTTGCTGCGTTTTCTGCTGTTGCTTCCCAGAGACGCTGAGTTGTACTTGGATGCTCTGGCCCCCCGCCTGCTCCCAGCGCTGTGTGCAATTGGCTGCCGCGTTTCGCCCACAAAACACACAGTCACTACGCTGTACAGTATGTTCTCGAAGACCTGATAAGGCGCTATATCAAATGCAAGGATTATTATTTCTCACCTGTTGGCCGAGACATGGAGTGTCGGTCACCAGGCATGAGTGGAGAGTGGTAGCCAAATGTGATCCTGGCTGATTTTTCCCCTCCCTACCCTGGAAGCACTGAGGTGAATCACAGCCCCAACTGCTGGCGAGGCTGAGATCAGCACTCTCAGGGGATTTGAATCTATCATTTTCTACATGCGTTAGTATGAACTGATGGTGCTCAGTCTCAACTTCTAGTTTGTTGCACCATCAATCCCTTATCCCAGGTTGGGCAGAGGTTGTAATTCACTTTGTGGCGGTGGTGATGATGGTAGGGTGACTGTGTCTGGCGAATGCTTTCTAGAAGTTACTGACGCAGTAATTACATGGGAGGATTGCTGTTCAGCCACTGTCACTTCGAGTTTACATTTGAGTCCCGGAAGTTGAAAATTATTCATGAATTCTGAGCAATCTTTCAAATCTATTTTATTTTATCCAGGAGCTAAATGCAGCTCTTTGTGGGGAGCAGTGTGAAATATTTATTCCACATTCGCTTCTATTTAGCTGGGTCAGAGAAACACTCCTTTGAAGTCCCGGAATCCTTTTATTTCACTGTTTCAGAAATACATGCTTTGAATTTCTGTGCAAGTGTGTTTTTTAAAAAAAATGAAGACAGGTTAGTAACTCAATGAGAGGCAGAGAGTTTTACTTTGAGGGCATGTTTTCATGTGGGATTAAATCCTGAGGAATTAAATAACTGTGTGTTAGTCTCGTCCAGTTGGGAGCACTCTCGCCTCTGGGTCAGAAGGATGTGGGCTTTGGTCCTTAATCACGACCACACTCCAATACAGTGCTAACGGTGCATTGCATTGCCAGATGTGTCGGTACTTTGGAGGAGACATTAAGCCAATGTCTGTGCCTGTTCCAAGTGGACATTATAGAGATCCCACAATTTAGAAAGATAAGGGGGCTTCCCCTGATGCCCTGGCTAACAATTTTCCAAAACTAATTGGTTCAAAATTCACGTCATGGCTATTTGGTTAGACGTTGCTGTACACAAACTGCCACACACACCTACGCAATTCACTACTTTATAGTAAATCCCGCAATGATTATTATTATTATAATGATCGTTTGGCGACCCAAGTCTCAAACATCACTCGTGAGACTGACAGGTGATGAATTATCAATTGAGTGAGTTATGGGCGGGCTCTCAGCTCTAATGGATCTGTCTCCCAGGGTGAGGTGGGGGCAAGCAAACACTCCACAATTGCTCATTTTATTAATTCCAACATTTTCTTCTCTCTGTCTTTCTCTCATTCCTCCTCTCCACCCCCCACCCCCCCCACCAATCCCACAATATGTACGTTCAGTGGTGGAACCGAGATCACCGTCACCGGTACCAACCTCGCCACCATCCAGGAGCCCAGGGTTCGAGCCAAGTATGGTTTCAAACAGTCCAGCAACGTGAGTACTCCAGACGTGGTATCATCGATCTAAAATCTTGCCCAGAGAATAGGACCAGCTTTCTGACCAGGACCTTTTTACACTCTTTAGGAATGCAAAGTGTTGAACGACACTGTCATGGTCTGCAAAGCCCCATCTATAGTGAACAAACAGCGGGTTGTGACCGAGAACGGTGAGCGGCCGGACGAAATCGGCTTCATCATGGACGACGTCCAGTCAGTGCTCGTCGTCAACGGAACAGGATTTGTTTACTACCCCGACCCGGTCTTCGAGCCGCTGAGTCCATCCGGGACCCTTGAACTGAAGCCGAGCTCAACGGTTTTACTGAAGGTACTGATGAACCTTGTATTCACAGGACCCTCACGCCCCGTTTGCTCCACCCTTCCGTTGCCTAAACGTGACGTTAGTTGTGGTCTGATTGTTTGAAAGTGTTGAGTTGGGTTCGCAGCAGGGACTCATTGGCTGCTTTTTCTCACTGCTTTACCTACAGGGAAGGAACCTGATTCCCCCAGCCCCGGGCAATGTCAAGCTGAACTACACAGTGCTGATAGGGGACAACCCCTGTGTGCTGACTGTCTCCGAGACACAGCTGCTGTGTGAGCCCCCAAACCTGACCGGGGAGCACAGAGTGTTGGTGAGTACGAGAGTCTTGTCCATAACTGAGAAATGCTTCTCAGAGTCTAGGCGGTTAGTTTTGCGTGTTTGTTGGAGGGCTAGAGAGCTGCAATTCCCTCCTGACTCAATCTCCAGCACCTTGGGACGTCCTTCTGACGTGAAAGGCACTATAGAAATGCAATTTGTTATTTACACACATGCGCTGGATGGGAATCAACAACCTCTAGCTTATTTGTTTCTCCTCCACACTCAATGCAGGTGTGGAGGGTGAGGTTCTCAGTGATCCCTTGTCATCCGATCTCTTGAAATCAGCTTGCACAACACTGCTCTGGAATGTGTTGAGTGACGCTACCTGTCAAAGCCAGCGATCAAACCCAGTTGTTTCCCAGCCTGTATGGTTCAGGTGCTCGCGTATATTGTTTCCATGCCCTCGGCAGGGAGCCTGTGATTTGTTTCTCAGTGACTGCAGAGTGTGTGATATTCAGGAAGAGTCTGACTGCAGCCTTTGCCAAGATCTAGCTAGCTATAGATTTATTTATAATTTGATTGATTGCTCCCTGACTGAGCATTTGAGGAAATGATCAAGGCTTGTTTGAGATTGCAGAAATCTAGCTGTATGTCTGCTCTTCAAAGTGTGTTTTTTTGCGGGTTTGAATTTCAGAATAGATGATCTTCCTTTAAAAAGAAAGGGAAATACACTATCCTTTTCATCTCTTCTTTAGCCTGCCTGTCACTTTCTGAACTGTTTTTGCACAGTGGTAGTTGGTTGGCTTTTGATGTTGTTGTGTATTTGTGGGGGTAAAACTGCCAAAGGAATGGGTGGAAGTGGGGAAAAATGGAGCAGTGACACTGAGTTCCGAAGCGATGTGCAGAGCGAGTCCAGATCGCTCACTCTGCTCGGTTCTTTACCTTCCACGCTTCCATGCAGACATGGAGTCAAGTCGTGGGCAGGAGCAGGTTCTCTTCAGTGATTTGGATTTCTGATGGTGGCTCAGTTGGGATGTTTTACTGCCCGATGTCAAAACTGAGCCTTGCAGAGCGGAGAGGTAACACGTTTGAACTCAGCTCAGATGCCAGTAGGGCTCTGTAAAGTGCTCCAGGACGCTGTGTGCATGGCGGTATATAAATGCAAGTTGTTGTTGTAATGTCCCTCAGTCTTCCTGGGCTTTTGGGGCGGGGGGGGGGTGGGGGAAGAGCAGCCAGAATTCCTGCTTCTGAATACCATTTAGGTGCTGGCCCCTGGTGAAATATGCTTACAAATATGGATGTTAGGTGAAGAGGGGATCAGGCCAGGCTGTGGTATGTACCCCTGTAATCAAATAACTTGTAGGTACTTAACTATCTTTTAAGTTCAGATCTCGAGATTAATAATAATCATAATCCTTGCATTTGATATACTGCCTCATCACATTGTTGAGACGTCTTAAAGGGCTTCACAGAATATACTGTAAAGAGAACAGGCTGTATATTTTGTGGGTCACTGTCAGGCGCTCTGGGACGCTACCCTGGGTGAGGGTTGCCATATAAATGCAAGTTGTTGTTGTATATTTTGTGGGCAAAACGCGTGATTGTTATTAATTAAGCTGCAGAGATTGAACGATAACACGATTGCGATCAACTGCCAGGAGTGATAATTGTTTGAAGACGAGGGGGGACAGACAGAAGCAAGAGTTTTACTACAATCAAAGCCTTTCTCCAGCTTTAAATCTTCCTTTCTGAAGCATAGATGAATGTTCTCTGAGCAGAGCTGTTTGGACAACAGCCACTCAAAGCATCCCGAAGAGCCAGACGTGAATCTGATCCGTTTTCTGTTGCTTTCCAAGACTTGACAATGTTTGACAATTTGACAAATTGAAGTGATCAAATCAAAGTGATTGACTACCCATCCACCCCACACACACACACACACACACTGACTCACTGACTTGAAATGAAATTCAGTTTCTGAAGTTGACATCCAATAGAAACACGAATGTTCTAGTGAGCGCTGTGGTTTTTGAGGTACATTGAGTGGGAAAGTGCATTTTTCTTACGGAGAGCAAACACTGGTTTGCATTATTGTCCCAAAGCGATGATGAGCGAGATGTTATTGAAGCTGAAAGCTGTTTGTTTGAATAGACACACTAGTTTATTTTTCCATTTCCAGCACAGCTGCACATCACCATTTGGAATGGATTCAACAGGGTATCTGTGACCAAGAGGCGCGGACTCTGCAGCTGTCTCTCCTCTTCATTATGCTCTCTCTCTCGCTCTCTCTCTCCTTCGCTCGCACAGTACCCGTTGTTTACATTTTGCACCCTTCCCCCCTGATCATTCCGGTCAGGAAGGAAGAACGCTGCTCAACCGTAGACTTCTTAAAGACCACACCAGTTAACAGTAATGGGTGAGCAGTCTAACTGCGGCAAAGCTATTTATTCAAGCTGCCTATCAATTGCAACTTAGTGGGGGTCCGTATTGATGCTGTTATTCGATGAAGTCATTGCTTCAATTCCAGATTTTTAGTATCTTTTTAAAGCAAAACACTTTAACCAACAAAATACTGTGTTGCTCGCCCAGGCTTGCCCGCAGTGCTTATCCTCTGTGATTTATAGGGACTCGATAAACTAACTTTGATCTCTGAGACTTTTAAACATGGGCAGAAGAGAGTTGGCAAAATGAGACAAATCCTTGTTCGTTTTGTTTTAATTTGGAGAACATCTTTATCCCTAGAATGTCCCCCAATAGCCCCCAAAAAGGGTTTGTTTAGTTTGATTGCCTCTCAGGAACAAATATGTCCTTCACATTACAGGTTGAATAGAATTCTGTGGTTGCAAAAATGGCTCGTGGCAGCCAAATAACCTTTTCTCACTTCCAACCCTCGCCATTATTACCTGTTGAACCTCGTGCCAAATGTTTCCTTGGGCGATCAGTGAGCCACCAGCCCCGTGATCCAAATCAATGAACCTGTGGTGTCCTGCACAGATTCCATCACCCAGTTTAACAATGCGGCAGCTCAACACTCCCACAATGGCCTGGTGGGTGAAAGACATACAGAGCAGAAGGTTGTAGGTTCGAATTCCAGTCTGCGCTTCGCCATTCATCTCTACTGAGGCAGAGATAATGGTACTATAATTGGGTTAGAGGACGATAAACATAAAAAGACCAGGGTTCCTACTTATTGTGACCTCCTGCTGGAAGTGTGTGGGTATTGGGTGAGGACACGATCGGCTCGGCTGCGATTATGCTCCTACTTTCTCTTGATTCTCACGTGTGAACAATGACTATTTGCCCAAGGTACCAGATTGTTTATCCTGATACCTTGGGCACCTTCTCCTTTTCTCCAGTAAGGAGAGAGGGACTTAATTGCTTTCAGGAGAGGAGGAGACAAATTAATGGGTGGAAAGAAACACAATATTCTGATTGGGCCTGGATGATTGCTGGTTTAACTCAGTTAATAATAATCCTTGCATTTGATATAGCGCTTTTCACGTCGGGAGGACGTCCCAAAGCGCTTCACAGATCACACTGTAAAGTGAATTGACTGTATATTTGTGGGCGAACGCGGCAGCCAATTGCGCACAGCAATGTCCCACAAACAGTCGTAGTTTGAAAATGACCAATTTATTATTGTTTTGTTTCGGAGGGATTATTATTAGGCTCTGTGTGGAGTAAGGAAACTTGCCCAAGGTTTCACCCTCTGCCTGGAATTGAACTCAGGTCTCTCGCTTGCAAAGCGAGTGCTCTAACCACTGAGCTACAGGACTCAGTTGAACACAGATCATCTGGTGAGAGGCTGGAACGCACCAGCAGCTCCTGTCGATGCACCGGGGTCACTGGAGAGATCTTTGACTCGGTTTGCACTGATTTTTGAATGCTGCAAAAGAACCGAGAGCCGGGTGGAAATTGATGGAGGAGAATAATTGAGCTGCTGATACAGACCGCACTGAGGCGCTGGAGACAGCGACTGATTGAAATGATTCTCTGTGTCTTGACCCTCCTGTTGACCTGCCTGTTCTTCAGCTCCTGAGTGCAGTACCCAACATTATCCATTATCTTACTGAAAGCAGACCGGGGTTACCTCCACCGTTCAGCAATCAGTCTTTAGATTTCCAATGTTAAAAGCAAATTTAGGATGAAACTTTTTAGCCCGTCTCCCACATGCTCATGGAAACCACAGGACTCGGATGTCCCATCTATGCCATGATTTGCTGACGAACACTATTTCACCCTCTGTGGGCTTCCTACTTTACTTCCTATATCATTGTACTTTGGCATTGAGCAGCCTTTGTCCCTTGCCTGTCGAGCTATTTTAGTATGATCTTCCCCATTATCAGTTTGGTGCCTGCAAATGTAATTACACTGAATTTGCTTTGAATTCTACACAAAGCATTGACTGGATGTGTCGATTTCAATTCATTGCCTGCGTATGGAATTAAATATTTCTTTTCGAAAAAACATTTTGGGGTGAATGTTCCAAGAGTCGAGGTGAGGGACGCAACTGAAACACTTTTCCATTTGAAGAGCCCCATATCAACATCAAGTGCAGAACACATTAGAGGCAGAGTCAAAGCCCATCAGCATTGGATGAGCTTACAGCCACTTTACCCCTACCCTCTCCTATTCCCTTCCCAAATCCTTCCGGCTTGGCTCCTTCCTTTCTGTTACGAAAATCTGACTAAAAGCCTGTCTTTTTGACTGTGCTTTTGGCCTCCTCGCCTCACCCCAACCCCCCTCCTCGCGGTCCCCTAGCCCACCTCCCACTGTGTCTTTCTAAAGCACTTTGAGACTGTACTAAGTAACATGTACTTGGCAAGTGCTAAAACAATGTTATTGTCTCATATCATTTTTAAACAGGGCAAAAAAGATTACTGAGGCACAAAGGAATGTCCGGGATTGGAAAAGACCATTGTCCATCCAGCCTCACCCGAAAGAAAAAGAAACAATCATTATTCTCAGTCATTGCAATTTCCAAATACTCTTGTCAATTTTGATCCATTCGGATTAGTTCATGTTATTTCAGTACTAGAGAGCCAATTATACATGGACAGACAGTCTGTCAGAGCTGCACGCCAGTGCAGAGGAATCTGATAAACATTAAGCTTGTAAAGATATTTTCTGCTTGGATAAGGTTGGCTCTAAATTTCCAGATTACAAATAGACAAATTTGCAAATTTCTGTTGTACCACCTGTTTTAATTATTTTCTCAGCATTTTAATCAACGTCAAGCTAACTGAGTAACACTCGGCAAAAAGAGATTTCATGCTGTCATGATTGGATTTCTAAAGTGTAGTGCAGTCTGTAATGGGCTGTGCGGATCCATCCTGTATGTGGAAGTCCTGACCGGTGTGGCAGTAAATCCTGACCCGCAGAGTAGGGAGACCTGGCTGAGTCCATTGGAATTCGATACAGTCAAAATAAATGGAGTAGGTTTGATCCTGAGAAATTGTACGCATTTTTTTGTTTGTTTGGCTCACTGGAAATGTACACACGTAATAAGTGAATAGGAAGGAGTTAATCTATTATCGCTGTGCACGGTAAGTGAAGGATGTTTGTGCATTGGAATTCTTCTATTGGATCAGGACTGAGCGTGGAGTCAGGTGTGCGTTCACCTATTTGATTGGCGGGTCCTTACAGAACTGATTTTTTCAAAAAAAGTCAGCCCCATTCTACACCACACTGCGCTGCTGGTAATCAACAGGCGGGTCGCTTGTAATAATACTGAAATGTTTACATTCAGCTGCAGCTTAATGTTTAACAGGAAATGGATTGCATTAGAATCACGCAGACATAATTCTTTTATCACCGGCAGCCTGTTGAGAGGATAATGGCTTCAATATAACCTGTGGAAATAAATGCTTGCGGAATAATAATGGAGGCATTTGTTTTCTGCCTTTGTCCATGTGGTAGAGTTTTGTGTAACGGTTAATTAGTAACAGGAATCGGGAGTCTGTAGCAGATTAATAAAACACTTGTGGTGATCTCCGGTTTTATGTAAAGCTACAATATAATTATAGTTTAGAAACACTAACCCCCCTTCATTTCTATACCTGTGTGTGGCAGCAATGAGATGGTACTGGTAAGAGCTAAGAGAGGATCTGAAAAGGCAGTTGAGGAATTTCTTTCTATAGAATGTGGAACTCACTGCTGGACTCTATTTTAAGAGGAAACATTTTGCGTACGTGATGGAGAAGGAAATAAGGGGTGGCAGCTCACATGGAGTATGAGCAGTACGAACGAGTTGAGTCAACTGACCTGTTTCCATGCGGTAATGTTCTCTGTAATTGTGTGCAAGTGCAGAATCTCCAGAGTGGCACCGATCAAAGTAATAATAATAATCTTTGCATTTGATATAGCGGCTCATCACGGCTTCGAGACGCCTCAAAGTCTAGTGACTGTAGATTTTGCGGGCAAAACACGGCAGCCAATTGCGCACAGCAGTATCCCACAAACAGTCGCGGATTGGGTGACCAAATTATTATTATTTTGAAGGGATTAGCCCCGGAAAAGGTATCCGCCAATCGACTAACAACCGGGTTCCTACTTACTGCTGGGTAAACAGAGGTAAATTGAAAAATTGACAGGATGCAATCTCAGGAATCCCAATCCAGGGATCATGTATACTAAAGCTGCTCCCCAACTCCCGGGATTTATAGACGAGTATCCCCGGTATTTGGGGATAATGTTAAGGAAACTCAAATTCAAACTGGCCTTTTGCAAAACTGCTAAAAAGGCTCTTTTCCCCCTTTTCTCTTGATGTGGCGTTTGCAAACCGGAAGCAATAACTCAACCTTTTCTTTTTTTTAAAAAAACACAGCAGCAAAGTCAGGCAGTTTGTCCGTTCCAAGTCATTTTTTCCCGCCTCTCGGTCTTCCTACGTTCCTCTTCTCTTTTCGCTGCTGGAATCTTGTATTAGGCTGTGATTTTGACTGTGCTCCAAAATGCTGGGTGCTGTGTTGGAAGAGTGCACCTTTCTCTCCCCTGGCACTTCATCTCCTTTAATTTCTCTCCTTTTCCCACTCTTCCTCGTCCATAGCCTTTCTGTTTGTCACTGCGTTGTTTTCCATTTCTCTCTCTCTCTCTCGCTCTCTCTCTTTTGTTTTCCCACCACACACAAACCTCTCAGTAATTTCTTTCTGTCAGTATTATGTTCATCTGTTCTGCTATCGGTTTCTCTCTTTCTCTCTCTATTTGACATTCTTTCTCCTTCTCCCCCTAAATGTGCTGATGACCCTGGTTCAGTTTCTCTGTGAATGTAACGTCTATCTCTGTCTCTATGTATCTCTCTCCTCCTTTGTTTGTGCCACTCTCTTTCAGTCCTTCAATGTTATGTCCCCCTTTTGTCTCTCAACATATATATATATTATATTCTGTGTGTGTGTTTCTCTCACTCTCTCTCTCTCTCGGTATGTGTATGTGCCACTGACTTCTCTCTGTCGCACTTATTATATGTGTCACTTTCTCTCCAATGAATCTGCACATCATTAATCTTCTCCCTCCCTGTCTTGGTCAATCAGGCCATTGAGTTGCTGAGATAGGTGGGGAGGGAGGTGAATCAATGACTGGCTCGGAAGAGGATGCTACAAAGTGGCTGTGCTCTTCGCAGAGTTCTTTGCCTTTTTTTCCGAGACAAGATTTAGCATCTCGGGATCCCAGGATTTGGGGCATTAAAATCCTGAAATCATGGGATTCAGAAAGAGCACTAGGATTGTAACCCTCAGGACTGGGACTGTTTGAGATGTGAGCAATTACTTACCAACTGCAGGGTTATCTTTACGGCTGATTCAATAAAATGCATCCAATAAACCTCGCCGGCCTAAAAGTGGCTTTAAAAACGATTTTGTTTGTGATAAAATGGGCTCCCTGCAGTGTCTTTGCTCGACTCATTACCATCAGTGCCAAGTGGAGTCCTGTAGTGTAGTGGGTAGAGCATTTGCCTCACAAACGAGAGGACCTGAGTTTGATTTCCGGGCAGGACGAAACCTTAGGCAAGTTTCCTTACATTGGCTGCCGACTTCATCCGCAAATTATACAGTCCATTCACTTTACATTATTTTCTGTGAAGCTCTTTGAGACGTCTAAACGACATGATAAGACGCTATATCAAATGAAAGGATTTATGTATTATTTATTATAAGTGGCTATCCTCCACCTGTGCCCCTGTGTACTATTATACAATCACTACACTTCATGTAACTTATGTGAAGCGTTTTTGAGACTTATCGATGACGTGATAAGTTTGTCGTATCAAATTTAAAGATGATTATTCAGTCCTAACCACCTCCACGCCAGTTAATCTCTGGGCCTAAGTTAAATTTGTTTATAGTGCTTTTCCTTATGGCGTTTTTGTTTGTGTATCTTATCCCTAATTTCGGAGAGTATTAGGGGCAGGTTGATGAGAGCCAGTTTTCACAGGTATAGTTTAGTTTTGCCATTAGTTGAAGCTTTTCATACGTCGACAGTTACATAAGGACAATCTTCATTGGCTTTGAGTTTGAATGCCGTTTTAACAGCATCAGATGTCCTTTGGAACTTTGGTACTGTGGAAGATGACGGGTTGAATTACGGGTTGAACAGCATTGGACTTTGTGGAGAATTTATACTTTTAACAGTTCAGTTTTATATTTGCAGATAGTATAAATTATTAATGCCTTATTGTTAACCTCACAAGACCTCTGTGCCCTTGTGGAATATCAATGAGCACTTACGAGAGACCATCAACTGTTAACGGGCTTGCAACGGGAACCAAACAACAACAAAGGAACTTTGTGTGATTTAAATTGCGAAAATTGAGATAAATTAGGATGCTTTTAGCGATAACATGCTGCGTTTTTAGAATCCTGTAATTTATAGGATCGAGTTCCTTGCTAATACTGGGAAAGATTCAGAAAGAATGTGATGAGTTTAGATTTCAATACAGATAAAAAAATTTAAATGCAGACAATTAAGAGTGGCTATGTGGGAGTACGTGAAACACTGAAATTAATCTGTAGGTTTAGTGGATGATCATAAACCGCGAGAGTCAATGATGTGACCCTCTCCATTAAATCCTTGGCTTGTCACCCAGTCTCAGATATCCATTATTCTCTATGTAATACTTTATCACTTACAGCTCTGAAGCTACCATAATATGGACAGTAAATGTCAACCCTCATTCATGCATTAGTAAAGCCTGACCTCTCCACTCATCCTCATGTTTGAAGCAGCCTTGTCTGCAGGGACTAATTACCTTCTCATTGTTCTGCAGATAAAAGTGGGGGGACTGGAGTATTCCCCAGGAGTGCTGCACATCTACTCGGAAAGTCTGCTCACGCTGCCAGCCATCATCGGCATCGGGGGAGGGGGTGGCCTCCTGCTTCTCATCATCGTCATTGTGCTCATCGCGTACAAGAGGAAGTCGCGGGATGCCGACCGCACATTGAAGAGGCTTCAACTGCAGATGGACAACCTGGAGTCCAGAGTAGCTTTGGAATGCAAGGAAGGTAAGGGTTTGTGCTGGGCGCTACGTGATGTGCTGAATGAGTGGATCTGACATGAAGCAATCTTATACCATTGCACAAGCTTCTTGCCCACCTGTTCCCACGCTAACCTGACTTCCGGGTTATCGGGTCACCATCAATCAGCACTATAAAGAAGTACGCTATAATGCCTTAAAAAATTAATGAATTGGTCACTCCATCCTCCACTGTTTGCGGGACGCTGCTGTGCACTATTGGCTGCCACGCTTCGCCCACAAATATACAGTCAATAATTCACTTTGCAGTATATTCTGTGAAGCGCTTTGAGACGTCTCGAAGGAATGACAAGGCGCTATACCAAATGCAAGAATTATTATGATGGGGCTTCACTGTATATTGGTCACTTAAGGTCTACCACTGGCATTGGGTACTGACAGAGACCAGAGACTGGCACAGGAGGATGGAATACCCACAGTAAGGCTGGGTAAATGCCATGCTCCTCCACTCTGACCCCTCCCACGACTCGCCACTGCTGGCCACACAGACCCTTGGAAGCAGCCTAAGATCTTGCTTTCTTGGCTCAAGTCTCGTCTAAACCCTCACTGCTCAAACAGTCTTCTGACTAACCTATGGTCGCATTTCAAGAAAGGAAACTTGGGACGAGATTCCAGAAGGGGGCAGGAGTTAGTGGTGAGCGATCCAGAGGGCATTGCAGACCCTACTGTGAGCGAATTGTCCGCTTTATGATCTGGTGTTCTCCACTGTGTCTGTTTAGGGAGGCACCTTTACCTACTACTCTATACCTTCACCTACTATCTATATCTTCACCTACTACTGTATACCTTCACCTACTACTCTGTACCTTCACCTACTATTCTGTACCTTCACCTACTACTCTGTAAGGGAGTTCCTGTTGTGCAAAGCTCGTAGTGCTTGCACTTTCCATCACTTCACAAAGAACTGAAATGAAAGGTAAAATGAGCTTCCCGAACCTGACCGGATAAATCCTTCAGAACCTCCACTGTGAACATGTGTCGTCCTGAGAATTCTGAGTGATTCACTTTATCATGAAAAACAAGATATAGCAGGTTCAGGATTGGGGGCAGGGGAAGAGCTGGGTAATGTTAATAAAATTAGGTGTCTGTAGCTCCTTATCAAAGAGGGCAGATGAAAGGCTGCTTTGAGGATTAATGAGAAGCCATCCTGAAGGTAGCCTGGAAGCTCCCGCTCAGCCTTATCTCCACTTGCTACTTGAGAAATTATCAGTCCCCCTGCAGTAACAGTGCATTTCCTGCTTGAGTTATCTCTTTCCTCTGCTCCCCCCACCTCCCTCACCCCCCCCTATAATTTCCGTCTTTTTTCATTAAACACTGCTGCTGTGGGTAGATTCCCTTCGGGATGAAGAGTTGGGTTTCGTGGTTTTGCTTCTCGAGGGCTGTGCGAAATCTTGCTACCAGGCAACAAATTTAAATTGCACCAGGTATTGCACTGCACGTGCAGAGAGTTTCCATTTAGAAAGTGCCCACTTTATATTCATAGCAATGTCATCACAGGCCAGTTGTCTGATGTCTTCTCTCCCTGGCTTCAAGTGGTGGGCAGAATTCCTCAGGATTTGGTGCTTTTTGTGAAAATGAAACGTACAAGTAATCTTTGATTTAGCTCCCTAATGAATCTTCCACGCTTAAAGCATGGATGATTTTGCTGAGCACTAGTTTTATATTTCGTGGTTTCTGGTGATACTTGTCCACTTGTGAGATATGGAAGTGAAAGAGGTTTGGGGTTTTAAACACAACATGAACCTTAGTTATTTCACCTTGTGAACATTTGACTGTATGTGATCCTCCATTCTCCATTTCTCTCCTTCCATTCCTGTTTTCTCTTTCCTCCACTCTGCCCCCCCCCCCCCCCAGCCCCCGAGCTCAAAACAAATGCCCCTACAAATTCTTCCCTGTATCTTCACAGGGTTGAAATTACAAGTTATCACATCTCTTTACTAACTCATTCCATCCCAAGACCTCAAAACGGTCAACTCTTACATCCCTCAGTCTGCTTTTCTTCGATCGTGTCTTCAGGCACCCCCCCACCTCCCTGCCTTCCCTCACCCCTACACCACCCCTCCCCCATGCTCGGGCCCCGACACCTGACTGTTCAGTGCTTTGGGACGTTCTCCCAACGTGAAAGGCGCTCTGTAAATGTAATTTTGTTGTTGTTGTTGTTGCTTTTTCTTTAACAATTTCTAGGCTATTAAAACCGGCCTTAGTGTTCTCTAAATGCTCCTTAATTTATCTAGTCTTCCCTTTTACTGTCTCCAGCCTCAGTTGCTGTCTATACCGGGTGCTGTGGGTTTTCAACTAGGTTTAAGTTTAAAACGTTACGGTGACTATTTACTCAGGTTTTCTTCATCTTTCTCAGCATTTGCGGAGTTACAGACCGACATTCACGAGCTCACCAGTGACCTGGATGGTGCTGGGATCCCATTCCTGGATTATCGGACTTACGCCATGAGGGTGCTCTTCCCCGGGATAGAGGACCATCCAGTCCTCAAGGAGCTGGAGGTAAACCCAATTTCTTCATCGTTCAAAGCTACATGTGTTGTGAGAGTCCGACAGTGGGCTAGTGTGGTTAGGGTAGCCTGGTGATGGGCATGACAGAGACATTGAACTTTGGGGAGGGTATTCAGGGAAGGTTCAAGCTCGCTCGATGAGATTGGCACCAACAAAACAAAGGGAGATGTTGGGAATACAGAGACTTGCTACCAAACGCGGTGGTCATAGCAGTTCCTACAATAACTTTTGAAAGAGAAATGGTTGAATGCTCAGCAAAGAACAATATAATCGGCTATGGAATTAAGATGGAGGCAGGCAATGTGGCCAAAGTACAGAAACACAGGGTCAGGGCCCGGATATGAGGGAGGAAAAAGAGCTGAGGATTGAAACGAATGCCAAGGTTGCACACTGGGTTCAACGAGTTTCAGAGAGAGGCCAGGAAGCTTGACATCAGAGCGAGAGACAAGGAGATGTTGGGTGGGAGTTGAGGTGGACGGTTTCGGTCTTGTCCACATTTAGCTGAAGAAAGTTGATTCTCCTTCAGGCCGTGAAGTCTTGAAAGGCAGGTGGACAGGACATGAAGGGCCTTGGAATCTAGTGTAGAGGTAAAGAGGTCGATTTGGTTGCTATAAGCATTTCCTCACCTCGTAAAACTAAAATATTCACCTTATTCCTCGGCAAAACACAATTGATGTGAGGAGGAATTGGATGTAAAATCTGAATTGAAAACATTTTGACTCCAACTGATATAATTGGAATTGAGTTTAAATTTGACGTCTGAACAGGCCTTGAGATGACAACTGTGAACTTCTGGTGATTGTTTTTGGCTAATTTACAGTGGTGCTATTTACACTAATAGTTCGGGGGAAGTACATTTCTCTCAATTAAAACTGACAAGTGACAACCCAGGGAAGCAGAAAAGCTTTCTCTGTGCTGTGTTGCCTTTAATTCTTCCTCTTTCCTTGTCGTGTTCCTAATTCCAAAATTGTGATCCTTGTACTTCAGCTGCCTGGGGAAAAGACCCTCTGGTTTCCTTGTGCTGCAACAATTCACACTTGGACGCCTTTATCTTCCACTGGTGTTCCACCAATGTCTCATTTAATAATTAATCCCTGAAATCTGTCTCTCCCACCGGATGTTCTTTATCACTGCGCCTCTTTCATCCCCGTCATCCTGCACGTGGTAGTGATTAAATGGATGTTTTTTCTTTTGCTCCAGTTGTCTTTAGATCAACCAATTATTTATTTAAAAAAAAGTATATACCGTCCTTCGCATAGGACAGCTTCTCAGAGCGGGTCAAATGCAGAGCAAGGGAGTGGGTGGGGGAAAGAGAGAGATAGCCATAGTCATGGTCAAAGAGGTAGGTTTTCAGGCAGTATTTAAAGACAGAGAGTGGTCAAGAAAAGGGGTAGAAGAATGGCATTCAAGAGGATAGGGTTTAGGATCTGAAAGCTCAGTCACCAATGGTGGTGCACAGAAGGTAGAGAATGCGTAGCAAATCCCTACTTAGCCAAGCCTGGGAGAAGGGGAACAGAGGAGTGGGGTAAGAGGAGTCAGAAAGGAAGGGTGGGGTTTGAAAACAAGTGAAGTGCAATGAAAGGTTCCCAGCCACTCTTCAATTTTCTCCGCTCATCTCCTAAACCTGCTGGCTCTTACACAGACAGCCTCACCCTATCATTCTTTTTGTGCTAGTCCACACAATATTGTTTTCTATTCAATGCAGGAAGATCTCTTGAATCCCTTTACAGCAGTGTGCCATTTAAATATCAGCCTTATTTCCATTGACACAAATGCAGGTGAGTTTTATAAGGGTGGTGTCCTAGCGTTGAATAACCTGCAACTGCCTTTACAATTCCTCGTGTTGGCCTCAGATCAGCCATGATCTTCTAGAATGGCGGAACTGGCTCAAGGGGCTGAATAACCTACGCCTGTTTCTATGACTGTTAGCACACTGTGTTTCACTCGCTCTCTGCCATTCTGATCTCAGGTGACCTCCAACGTGGAGAAGGCCCTGACTCTCTTCGGACAGCTGCTGAATAAGCAGGTCTTCCTGCTGACATTCATCCGCACCTTGGAGGCCCAGCGAAGCTTTTCGATGCGTGACCGGGGTAACGTGGCATCGCTGATCATGACTGGACTCCAAGGCGAGATGGAGTATGCCACTGGGGTCCTGAAACAGCTCCTGTCAGACCTCATCGAGAAAAACCTGGAGAGCAAAAACCATCCCAAGCTGCTGCTCCGAAGGTGAGTCCCCGACATCGGAGATAGTAATAATAGACCTTGCATTTGACATAGCGCCTTACCACGTCTTTGAGACGTCTCAAAGCGCTGCGCAGAATATACCGTAAAGCGTACCGACTGTATATTTTGTGGGCCAAACGCGGCATCCAACTGCTCGCAGCAGCGTCCCCACAAACACTAAGCTCAGCGTGAGGGTCTGTAACTGTGACAATTTCCATTTCTCGCCACGGTGCCCAGTCCGGTTGCCAGCATGGTGCCGTGGATGGACAAATGTCATCCAGGCTGAGATCAGCCGACTCAAACCTGGGGAGGGAGGGAAGCTGGGCTTCCCCTGGTCTGCGGCTGAATTTGACACGGCAGGGAATTACCATCAGGGCAACTGGTGGGTTTAAAGAGACATTGTTTTTTGTTCCACTCCAGCAGGGTTTTTCAACCTAGTAACGCTCTCCTCACAACACTGCTCATGTCTGTGGGTCTTCCAGTGATAGAGAAATGTGATTGACAGAACAGAACGTCAATGATTTCAGAACACTCAGCATCTATGGAGAGAGGAAAGTGAGTTAACGTTTCAGGTCGATGACCTTTCGACTGAACTCCTTTCTGATGGAACGTTACCAATCTGAAACGTTAACTCACTTGCCTCTCTCCATAGAGGCTGCCTGACCCGCTGAGTGTTCCCAGTGACTTCTGTCAACAAAGTGATCCTTGAGCAGCTCAAATGTAGCCCTAACAGGTCCCACTCTGGATTTCCCAACAGTAATTGATGATGATGATAACATAATAATAATATTATTACAATCAGCAAAAGTGACATCTAAAGAAACAAACAAAATTACATTTGTATAGTTCCTTTCACATCGGCGGGATATCTCAAGGCGCTGGTAACATTACAATAAGCTGGGACTCACAAGTACATAAATGAAGAACAGTAATCTGTCATAAACCAGATATCATCATTAAAACAACTAGCTTGCACGTGCATAATGATACGTAGTGATGTATCATTACAAGTGGCCATTCCAAGTGACTACAGCGCACAAAATAAGGAACTAGAGAAGATCAGGAAATATGTTGATCTACTGTATAAATGACAGGATGAGCACACTTCCTACAAGGATTGATGCAGCTGAGACTGTTAATAATAACCCTTGCGTTTGATATCGCACCTTATCACATCGCTGAGACATCTCAAAGAGCTTCACGGAATATACTGTAACTAACTTTACTGTATATTTTGTGTAAAGACAATTCAGAAATGGATTGACAAGACACTGGACAAAATATCCACCTTCTGCAGAAAGTAGCTGTTTTAGGAAGTTTAAACATGCTAAGAAAAGTAGCATCTATTCATATGTAATGTGGCAGTGTTATTGGTCTGATGGACCGATTCATGAAAACCACTTCGAAACTACTTCTACGGAATGATTTAACTTGTAATAACATACCAATATTATGATCCTTCCATTTGATGTAACCTTTTATTGCACTGTTGAACATCCCAAAGCGCTTTTCAGAATTTACTGGAAGTGGCTATATTTTTTATTGGCAAACCTAGCAGTCAATTTACACAAATAACCATGAAGAAAATGGCCAATTTTTAATCTGAAGCATTGTTGGCCAGGATGCTGGGAAAAAAAACCTTTTCTTTTTAAGGACAATCGTGCTGGTAAATGATTTCTCGAGGGTGCGTAACACAACCGACCGACCCTCTGGCTAAACTGGGTGATGCAGGAATGTGCTTGACCAACAACTCTTTGCTTTACAATTTTTTCCATCAAAGTACAAAGTGACGTGGGCATAGGATGCTCATGTGGAGGAAGGTTGTTCAATCATAAATAAAGCATACTTGTCCTTTAAGCCTGCAACGACCTGATGTGACAGAATGGGAACTCCACTTCCATTTTGCAGAACGTAAACTGCTTTGGCAGGTGAGGTGGGAACAAGAGCTTTCAGTTGCATATTGGGTCGTCTCTGCAGACAGGCCCCTGTAACTGGGAGATTCTAAACGCAGATCGTCTGTACATCTCATTGATGTTTCACATGAACGCACAATGAGGATAAAACCAAATACTGTAAAGTCAGTGCAGTCTTTTTAAAAAGATTATAAACCACTCGTGTGTGTGTGCGTGTGGTTTGTTGTGTTTTATGTGTATGTATTTTGCATGCATGCATTTTTGGCATGCGTGTTCATACACTTTGTATATCGAGATCAAGTTATATATCAGCGCAGTTGTACTTGAGAAAGAAAAGAGAGTTTTTCCCAGCATCCTGGCCAACAGTGCTTCAAATAAAAATTGGTCATTTTCTTCATGGCTATTTGTTTCATACATTGTGTGGGTGGGTGGGTGGGTGGGGTGAGGTGTGTGTGTTCTGTGATGGGTCCCAGTTCAAGCCCCTGTATCCTGATGGTGTGGTGTTCTCTCTTGCACAGTGCGCCACCTATTGGTTGAATCCATAATTCGTGAAAATCATCCAATAAAAACAAATAAGGTCTCACTTGATTGCCGTTTCCAGGTTCCTGACGCACCCAGATGCAGTCTCAAACCTGTCAGTGACCTTGAGAAGATGGAGTTGTTACCCAGGTGGTGGGGGAGGTTGTTCAGAGAATTTACAGCTTGCCTTTCACACTTGTTTTTCTTAGTCATCGTTGAGATTAATATTGTCTGGCAGATGTTGTTTGCCATGTTATCAACCCCTTGGTAAAGTGCTATTCAGAGCATATTATTCTATGGACGAGGCCTTCATGTGCCAGATCTCGGTTGATTGCAGTCAGAGGAACCCTATATTCTCCAAACTCAACCGTTTGGATGTGAGGGGTTTTGTGGTGATAACAGAGGGTTATTTGGTGAGTGGCTGAGGTGCCAGTATTCAGTCTGTACAAAGTTAGCTGTTCTCAGTCAGAACAGCGGTGGTGATGCTATATTTGAGCCGTGTGCCAGGACTTCTGTCCCTTGTTGCAATCCAATGATATCTGCTGATGAGTGCTTTTGTGTAGGCATTGGATGGGGATGGTGACTGGGAATGAATAAATTTAAGCAGCAAGACAGCGCAATGAGCTTTTACTTCAACCAACCCACTGACAAAATAGGGCGGAGGAAGAGCATGCAGAATTCAATCCAAAAGATTGTAAGTGAAAGCTCAGTGCATTGCACACTGATGGAATAGCAGTGAAAGATGAGGCAATTTATGGATTTAACTTGACTTTTCAACTGAGCTTGTTTGAGGGACTTTCCATCCTTTGGATGAGACGTTAAAACAAGGTCCCATCTACCTGTTCAGGTGGATGTTAAAGATCCCATAGGATTATTCGAAAAGTGAAGTGAGTTTCTCCCAGTGTCCTGGCCAACAATCCCCCAAATAACATTGATCACTCCATCCATAGTTGTTTGGGGATATTTGCAGTACGCAACTGCCTGCTGTGTTTCGCCCACAAAATACAGTCCACTTTAGAATATATATCCTGTGAAGTGCTTTGAGACATCTCAACGACATGATAAGGCACTATAACAAAATATGCAAGGGTTTGACCTGTGGCCTCTTCATTCAATCAGCCTAACTGCATCCTCAACACCAACCTGCTCTCCCCTCATGTCGATGCATATTTAAATAGTTAGGAAAACAAAGATCACATTTTCCCAGAAGTTTTACTGTTGAGGTTTGAAAGGTGAACAGTGGCTTGTATCACATTGAATCACATCCCTGTTCTGAAGCAGTCCATTCAAGAAGATTGGAGTGTGAATCTCAAGTGCGTGAGAGAATGCTTTCGGGACTGCTGGTAATGTGCAACATTGCTTAAACATTAATAATTGAACTGTTTTTTTGCTGTGGATCAGACTTCCTGTATTTTTGTCTTGCCTCCTGGCTACCGGGGCAGATGGACCCTAGAGCCAGTCACTTTGAAGCCTGTGCGAATTCTTCCTGTTGATGCTCTGTTCTCCCTCTCTCGCTGTCATTTCAATACGTCCTTCAAGCTCGTCTTGTTGAGAAGATGTCTTGCGTGACCCCGTCAGTCATTTTTGTTTGTCCCCGTAGGGAAGGTATACTTTCTGCTACGCTCCGCGGATGCACTGGATTTCACCACAGTGTGTTGATGGAACCGTTTTACTGGTGTAATGGGCCACTTGTGGCCTTGACGGAAATAGCATTGAATTGGTGCAAAAAATACGGCTTTCATCAGAAGGGTCTGGAAGCGTTGAGGTAGAAATGAACTTAGGCTGAGCTAAACATCTCTGTCACAACTGAATTCTAGTCCGTTCAGATGTTTGGAACCTCCGCTAGCCTTTAAGGGACTGATTGTTTCGTTATTAAAGACCAAGAATGCCGGACAGCTCAGTGATAAAGACAGGTTAGAACTGCATGTCTGCCCTGCATCAGAGACAGGTGACCCCTGAAATGTCAGCTTCTCTCTCTCAGGGACTGATGGAGCTGCCGTGCGTGTCCGCCAATCTGGCACTTTATTTCAGATTTCAGATTCATGGGTTTTTATAGAAAATCAGCAGAGATGGTTCCTGAGAGAAAGTCCAGGAGCCTGTTACTTCTTTACAACCGGAGAGGTTGTTGTAATAACAATATATTGCCTTTGAATCGCGCCTTATTGAGATAGGAATTTTGAAGGTTTATAGCACAGTTGGAGTGGAATGCCCCACCTGGAACAATAATTAAGGCTGAATGTATATTACAACAGCAACGACGACAACTTGCATTTATACAGCATCCTTCGGGTGGGATAGCATCTGTTAGTTCTTAAGAGGGAATGAGACGAAATGTAAAGGTGGAGAAGGAGAATGGAGCTAAACAGGCTTTTTCAGAGGGTCTGCGTTCCTTCATACTTGTGCCAGCGCTCTGAACGAGCTCTGTATTTGGTTCCATTCTGCCCCCCTTTTCATCTTTTCAGAAATGTATTTAATTCCCTCTTAAAAACTAATATACATTCTGCCTCAACTATGGTTCCAGGTCAGACACTCCTCATATCTCTCTGTATTTATAAGAAAATTCTCCTTACCTCTCCCTTTGTTTTTTTTGGTAATTTCCCTCTTACCCACCCAACGGTATTGAGCTGTTTCTTAAATGAGTCCATTGTCCTGGCCTCGACCTCCCTTCTTTGTATCTTGTTTTAGCTGTTGGTTATCCTCTAAGGAAATAAATACTTTCTGGTCTTTGTCCTCAAATTACTCCTCGCAGGTCACCCCAACAAGAGGAGACACAAAATTCTGCTACCCGGGTCCTCACCCATCCCACACTCCCTACTCCCATCACCCCAGTTCTCCTTGTTTCAGAACAGATCGATTTGAAGATTTTCACTCTCGCTTTCAAATCACTTCATGCCCTTCATACCTCTCCTGTCTGCTCACACCCTATTTCGCTACTTGCTGCCTTCGCTCAGGTGGCTCCGGTCTTCTCCGTTCCACCATTGGAAGCCGTGCTTTCAGCCACTAGCCTCTGACTCTCTGGAACTCCCTGCCTCAATCCCTCCATCTTGCCTCCTCTTTACCTGTCTTCAAATCACACCTGAAGACTTTCCTCTCTGACCCTGCCTTCAGTCACCTCTCCTTTCTTTCTAGCTTTGCGCCAAACCACACTCGCCACAGTTAAGCGCTCCGAGATGCTATTCCCGTGAGGGGCGCTTGTATAAATGCAAAGTTGTTGCTGTTGCTCTTCTTGACCCCTGATCCTGTGCCTTCTCGTCATGCTTCCTTGACGTATCTGACCCTAGCTTTCTTTTCTCTTTCCCGTTTAGCATCCACAATGCGTGCCTGTTCCCCATCCGGGCTATGTGACAGCAGCACTCTCTCAAATGTGTAAAGAGCCATTAACAAATCAGGAGTAATGTATACTGACAATTGAGAAGCATTTTAATTGTGTTGCTAGGGATGTTTTCAAGGTCATTGTCATGGGGAACTCTTGCATATTATCTGAGGTGGATTTGGGGGGTGATTTATGTATTACGTAAGCTAATTAGCCTAATTGCCTCATATTAATTGGAATTCAGTATTTGCTTAAAAGATTGCCGGGTTGTGTGGGGGCATAGAGCATTGTGTGGATCTGCCTGTGATGTCCTGAAAATGATAGGGGTCTTGGTTAAATTGCTGTGGTCTCCCTTGGCCACTTGGCACGGTACTGTAAAAACTATCCCAGTCAATCAATCCAGTCAACTTTACCTTAACAATTGTACGGGTGCCCAGGTTTTCTTTTAGGATAAAGAGTGAGTGGAGCTGGCGCGATCTGTCCTTCACTCTACAACCTGGATTCTGTTTGAATAAAATCTGCTCACTGGTGGAAAGGTCTTAAGATAACTGGGTGGGTTGGGGGAGTGGGGGTGGGGTCTTCTCAGGATGTTAGCAAATTGCTGCACAAAAGTGCTAAAAAATAGGCGGGATTACTCTTAAGACAGTGGCTGGTAGAAAGAAGATAAATGTCACATTTGTACAGTAGGGACCAATCTATTGTTGGGATTAAGGTGTATTGTAGAGCAAAGTCCAGGAAGCTTTACTTTGCATCCAACTGTGTTGTGACACATGAGCAATTGATGATGACATTGGGCATCATCAGTTGTCCAGGGGTAATAAATAATTATTTAAAAATAAATCAAAATAATTAGTCATGCAATCCACGACTGTTTGTGGGACACTGCTGTGTGCAATTGTCTGCTGCGTTTCGCCCACAAAATATACAGTCAAATTCACTTTACGGTATATTCTGTGAAGCGACTTGAAGAAGTGATAAGGCGCTATATCAAATGCAAGGATTATTAGTAGTAGTAATATTAGTAAAGCAAGGGAGGGTTCCATGCCCAGCATTAAGATCCTGCATTTTGTTGAGCAAAGAATTTTTAAAAAAGATAAATGTCTGAGGCATGGAGCGAAGGTTTGGGACCATCCTTTAATTGGTGTTTAAGGATTGGTTGCAATTAACAATACACATGTCAGCCGTTATTGTAGTGTTTCGGATTTGATTAATTAGTTACGATGGAAAAATGTGTGGCTGCGAGAGAGAGGTTCCTGGGGGAATGTAACCTTTGAAAAGCATCACGGGAAATTAATGTTCTATTTTCACACGTTTGAAACGCGGAGTAAACTTGCAGGCGTGGCAGTTTATAATGACCGGGGTCGTTCATTATAACTCAAAATGCCTTTGTCCTGGGAGTGGATCGTTCCCCTGTGACTCTGCTGGTGCACGTCACTTCTGTATTGTCCCTCAAGTCTGATCAACATCCTGTGGGCCCCCAATCAGCAAGGCTTCTGCTTCTCAAATGTGTCAGTCCTAAAAGGAATCAGCATCTCAATGGGAAAGCTCATCTCCTGATCCCACTCCCATGAGAAAACAGTCTGCAATGCCTGCTCGCTGCAGTGTGCACAAAGCTTTCTGTTCCTCTTCTATTCTGAAGACTTGGCATCACATAGCCACTACGTGATGTATCTTTCGTTTTCTCTGACTCCCTCTCTCACTCTCTTTCTTTCTCACTCTCTCTCCTCGTTTTGCACAATGAGCTCCTATTTTGCCCACAATCAGGTATGGATAAAAATGGTCATTCCACTTCATGGCTGTTTGGGAGATATTGCTGTGTGTAAACTGGCTGCTGTGTTTGCCTACAAAACACGCAATTGCTATGTCTTACAGTAAATCCTGTGAAGCACTTTGGGCCAGGTTGGCAATGTGATAAGGTGCTGTAACAAGTGCAAGCAGGGATTATTGTTGTTTATTGGACCAATCTCTGCTACGGCACATTATCATCAGAGCATCTTTGCCCCAGAGGGAGTGGCCTTTTTGACCACACTCTCCCCTTCACCGGGAATGCAAATGTGTCGCTCACATTCCAGGTAGCTGTGTAAACAGGTGATTTGTATCTCATGTACACCGTTTATTGTTGCAGTTGATTTAATTCCAGTGATTTTCTCTTTCAAGGACTGAATCTGTAGCTGAGAAGATGCTGACAAACTGGTTCACATTCCTCTTGTACAAGTTCCTCAAGGTAAGACTGCACGTTGCCTGATTTCCCTTCAACCCACAAACCAGCTGCTCATTCATGAGCTGCCCTGGCCAATGTACGAGTTACTTCTTAATATTTTTTTAACCTTGACGTAAACTATTTTCCTCCTTTATTTGAGTTTTCCTTCCTTTACTGTTAACCTTGGAGCTTTCCCGCTCCACAAGTTCCGTCCAATGTGCTGCAATAAAATGTTTTTTGTGTGGTAACTGCCAGCGTACCGGAGCAAGGCTTGACCAGGTAGGACTGATCCCTCATTAGGCCTTTGACTCGCTGGTTGAAGGCTTGTACTCGGCTCAATCGGGTGCTTGATTGTCACCTGAGTTGAGAAGGAGGTTGCTTTGGGTGTGACAATCAGGGGAGCCTACCGCGTTTGGGGAATTACAAAGCTCCGAGGGGATTGATACCATATTGATGGTGTCCAGCTTTTAATGCAGATTGGGATCAACAAATTCTGCCAAAGTGCGCAAAGAGGCAGTGAGTCAAATATCTGTGATCGTGAGGAGAGGCCACTTTCCTCTCCGCCCCCTCCTTCTTTCTCGCTTTGCCAACTTTCAGAAACTGCATTGAATGCTTCCTGTCCCTTCTTCCAATGCCCCAGGGTTAAAAGAAAATCATAGACAATGTGCTTGACTCGCTCTGTGAGGAAGTGAGGAACTTGAAAGCAAAGCAGGGTTACAAGCGGACTTCAGATGTGCTGAAGAGATGGTATAGAAGCTCGTAAACAGACAATGTTTTGTTTTGGGTGGGAGCGGAGATGGAGGGTGGGGTGGCGCGGAGGTGGGGGAGGGAAAGAGAATTCTAATCCAGTTTGTGGTGAGACCATGTGTGAAGGTATTGTGCGAGGCCAGTTCTGGGTTTCTCTATTGTTGGTCCAAACATCTAGCTGAAGGAAAGTGGTTGAAAATGGACACTCTCATTCAGAAACACGTCCCTAAAGTGCTTTGTTCATCAATAATGCACACCTCATGTTGCTTTTTGCTTTCATGCCCCGAACAGAAGAGAGTAAATGGATCCGTACTCGTAGCCTCTGCCAGAGTGCTGCTTTCTCCCGTCTGTCCAATAATGGTCCTTTCTAGTTCTGTGTGTGAGCAATGCTTGCTTTACAAATTAAAAGAAAATGCCTGGAGGGGCCTGTCTTCTTCAAACCCAGAATGTGTATAAAAAGGGAGCAATGATTCCAAGGGAATAAATTAGTTTAGTGAATGTGCGTCTCTCTTTCTCTTTCTCTGCTCATCTCCTGCTTTACTTTAACTGAAAACGTGCAGAGAAATGGAGATCGCGGCAATAAACGTGTCCACACAAACAGCCGTGGCCAGGAATTGGGTGGGGAGGGATAATCGGAAGTTAGAAATTGTCGGGAGGAAAAGGTCGATGTGTTCACAAAAAGCCATGTACACGTTAAATATATTTTTTAAAGGAAGGGGCTTCAGTGCTAGGGCCATGGTTTGAAACCATCTGCTCTACTCACTTGTTATAGAGGACGTCTCTTTACCCAGCAGCCGTGAATGAAAATATATCCCTGTATTCTAATGTATTCCCAAAATAGGTGAAAGTGGGTTGGTCTCTGAGACACGTTAGGACGTGAGAGATGAATTCCCTCCCTCGTTCCCTCCCTCATCGAGGAATGTTCATTAATAATGCACACCTCATGTGGCTTTTTGCTTTCATGCAATCTGTGGGGAAAGTATTCTCTCCGTTTAATCCTCTTGGTAGTACCTGATTAATGATATCGCGCTCAGTGGATCTCCAGAAGGCTGTGACAGTTTCTGTGACAATTCCATCCCATCCTTTGAACCGTGAAACAATTGCCACGAGGAGCTCCGAATGCTTTGAATCATTCTCCTTGAAAGTTTTCCCAAAACAGCAGAGTTCCTTTGTGGGAGGGTGATTAAGATCAGTGGCACTTTTTAAAATAGTTTTTATTTAGAAACAAAAGGCAAGAATCTAAAGTTTTGTGTCAATGCTTTCAGTGCAAAGCGTCTGTGTTGTAGATTAGGACCAAGTGTTTCAGGGCTGAGTTGTGGAGCCCCTCATTCCTGGTCAGCCTGCACGTCTTGTGGTTTGATGCCCTTTATTTTTGGAGGGGTGGGGGGAAGAGTTTAGATAAAGAGCCAAAGCCTGGCATGATCGTGAGTCACCCACAAGATTTGAAAGAGTTAATCTAATCGATTTTGTGGAGATAACGGCCTTAGTTATGATGTTCTGGGAAGGAATGAGTTAGAGTGGGTGAAAGTGTGAAGGTAGAGAGGTTACTGTAGGAATGGGAAAGGCTATCAGGCTTGATGAGCGACTCCATTTTTACTCGTCATAGTACAAGGACTGAAAGGTAATGAGTAACTTTAATTTTCAAACGCCGACTTTGGGTCATTCTTTTCCAGGACTTTACCTCTCCTCTCGGACTCTCTTCATCTCCCTCGATCTTCCCTCCCTCCAATAGTCTTTTCAATCTCATCTTATTTCATTTCTCTCGCAGTCTTGCACTGTGGGATTTGGTTTCTCAGTATTTAAATATAAAACCCAGACTTCACACAACCACAAAGAAGCAGCTTGTTTTGCTGCGAAGCTGCATGCAGGACTCTCTCCCCCTCTTCCTTGATTGCGTACTGAAGGTCCTCTACCTCCGCTCCATAAAGCCTTGAAGGCAATTAAGTGGAGCTTCGGAATATCAATCCATACTTCACCTTCAACCCTCGCCTGTTGCCTTCTGCTAGTCCCAGTCCCACAGTACTTGCCTATCTCAGTCTATTAATATCAAACCCCCAACACACAGCTTTGTTGTAATAAGTGCTAAATGACTCCAGATTGAGCCAGCTCCACGTATCCACCACACTCTCATTTTTAAATCTCACTGTATGCATATGAATTTTGTCCTTATATCCTTTCAATCTATCCTTACAGTCCAAATTAATAACATGCTGACATCTGCCTTCTGCTTCTTGGCATTTTAAAAGACCTAAATCGTGTCTCCCTCAATCATTTTTTCCAATGAAATTAAATTCAGCTTTCTTCATAACCTGGACTCTTTAAGGTCTTGATTCACTAAGCAACTCCAACTGACAAGCATCAGAATGGTTTCCCTACTGATCCGACCAATGTTGGAATAATTTTGCCACTTCCGAAGCTGGTTGCCGGCCTATAGCTTGTAATAATGAGTGTTAAATGCCATTTTTCTACAATTGTGTTTTATTTTCATGCCTGATGTTCCTACATCTTCTGTGCCTAATGATACTCGGAGCTGATGGAATTCCCTTTTATCTGGACAGGGAGGTGATGAAAGGTTCATTATCGTGATTTGTCATGTCTCAGATGGCTGCTTCAAAGATGCTCCTCCATTAGAGAATTCCCCTCCCTGCCCCCCTCCAAAAAAAACCAATTTAATGAAGTCAGATTCACAGATTAATCATCATTTTTGAGACAAGCGTGTCATCAGAGGTCCTGGCTGGGATGTACGTGTGTGGAGACTCGTTAGCAGCTGTCTGTTTAATTATCGGAGATGATAAGGAGTTGCTAACAGCATATGGTGACAACAGGATTGCTCGGAGAGCGCTGTTTGTGCCAAAGTGAATTTAATTTGAGAAAGCACAAGAGAGTCAGAGCAAGGAACGAGCAGGAATGTCTCTCCGTTGGGAAAATAATTAGTTCCGTTTCCCAAACAGCTCCGTGAGAGTGCTTTATTTTATGTTCTGCAAATTCGTAGTGAGATGCTGCTGCTTTTGCTGGGGAAGATTTTAGAAAGGCTGCAATTTAGAACCGGAGTTCAGTGAAGGAGATCGACTCTTGACCAAACTTAGTAACTGTGGCTAAAAAGAGGTGTGTGTGGAAGGAGGCACTGAGGGAATTACATGTGCACGGGAATATGAGGCTCATATGTGGGTGTGCATTCACATTGGTGGTGGGGACAGAGGGAACAAGAGTGACGTTATGTGGGGAGAGGGGGAAGGGGGGTGCATATAAAGCACTCCTTCCTTAGAAGGGGATATTCCCACTGGTTTCAATTCCATGACAGCCTTCTTGAGACCAGTGTCGCCTTGTTTTCTATCTCGTGGAGGAAACACTTTCCTAATAACCTCCCATCTGACCTTCCGTGTTTACTTTCATGGATGGCATTCCAAGATCCCAGTAAAGCTGCTGTGTGCTTGAGGAATAGTTACTCACTTGGGCTATATCAACCCTTAAACCTCCAATCCTCCTCACCAACCAGACATTTTTATCCAGTTCTTCTTTGAAGGCCTGAATGGACACAGCATTCACTGCTCTTGGTGGCATTTGGTTCTGATGAGCTGGGATCACAGAGACCCTTTGCTGTGCTCAATGCTGCTCTGGATTGAATTTCTTTTCAGTGTAATGGCCCCGGGATTGATATCTGTTTAGCACGAATTGATGAAAATTGTCATGGGGTTGGAGGAAGAGGAATAGGAAAAGGTCTTGTGAGAAACTTCTTCACCTAAAGATGAATCCCACTGACTGGAGGAAAAGATAGTTTGCGAGCCCAGCGTTTTGTCAGCTGCCTGTGTTCGACTTTGACGCTGATAACGGTGCAAAGAACAGTTGAATGGGGAGCCTGGCATCGGGGATGGGAACTGCCCAGTGTGCAAGGTGTGGAGCTAACTGTTGCCTTTCTTGCCTTGTGCTGGGTAGGAGTGTGCTGGGGAGCCGCTGTTCATGCTGTACTGTGCCATCAAGCAGCAGATGGAGAAAGGCCCCATCGACGCAATCACAGGGGAGGCACGTTACTCTCTGAGTGAAGACAAGCTCATTCGCCAGCAAATAGACTACAAAACCGTGGTGAGTATTTATGTTTGTCGCAATAGTTTCTGTGCTCGTTCATCACTCGCTGTGATTCATCAAGGAGCCTTTTCTTTAAACTCCCCCCTCACCCTGCTACTAATGACTCCCACCCTCCCCTGCTGGAAAGGCTGACACTTGCCTGGGTTTAATGCCCTAGACACCAGACACCCTCCACTACCTCACTGCGGAGTCATCTTACTGTGAAGTCACTGTGGAGTCCTGTAGCTCAGTGGTTAGAGCACTCGCTTTGCAAGCGAGAGACCTGAGTTCAATTCCAGGCAGAGGGCGAAACCTTGGGCAAGTTTCCTTACTCCACACAGAGCCTAATAATAATCCCTCCAAAACCAAAAACAATAATAAATTGGTCATTTTCAATCTACGACTGTTTGTGGGACATTGCTGTGCGCAATTGTCTGCCGCGTTCGCCCACAAATATACAGTCAATTCACTTTACAGTGTGTTCTGTGAAGCGCTTTGGCACGTCCTCCCGACGTGAAAAGCGCTATATCAAATGCAAGGATTATTATTATTATCTTTAAAGCTGATGATGAGTGCCACCTGGCTATTGAGCCATTGAGAGGGCATTGCTCACCCTGTTGGACAAGTCCCTCTATTAATAATAATAATCCTTTCATTTGATATAGTGCATTATCTTATCGTCGAGACGTCTCAAAGCGCTTCACAGGATATACTGTAAAGTGGAGTGACTGTGTGTTTTGTAGGCTAAATATTGGTCCTCCAGTTCTTGAGTCCCTTCTGTGTGAAGAAATAATCATGCTTCAAAATAATTGGGGTCCAAAATTCCTTAAAGTTTTAAGAGTTGTGATGGAGCTTTTGGCTGCAGGATATCATGTGCAGTCAAATTAAATATTACACCATAAATCAGTAATTCTATATAAAAAAGCACCACTGGCATCAAATATTATGCAGGTATAGAATGTAAATGTTTCAGTAGATTGAGAAGAATTGACCCTGGAGTTACTCAAATGTTATTTCAGACCTTTCCATCAGGAACAGAAAGGAGAGGCTTCCTGAGGGAGAGGGAGGATTGCTAGCCAAACAGGCAGAAGTTCAGCTGGGGGGTGGATAGGGGAGATGCTGAGGTTGATTTTGACTGGTGCAGCGTTATAATAATCCTGCACTTATCACATCAATGTGATGTCTCAAAGTGCTACACAGGGTTTGTCTGTGAAATGCTGTGACTAGAGGTAAAGAATCTATAAATATACAATCTACACACAGCAATGTCTCACAAATAGCCATGAAGTGAAGGACCAATTTTATCTTGGGATTGTTGGCCAGGACACTGGGAGAAACTCCCTTCTCTTTTCGAATAATGCCACAGGATCTTTAACGTTCATCTGAACAGGCACAGACGGGACCTTGGTTTAATGTCTCAACTGATATTAAACCAAGGACATCACCTGACATTGCAGGGCTCCCCCATAGCTGCAGTAGAGATGTCAGCCTGTGAGTGTTACCATGTAAGTCACCGTTTGTGATCTGGTTTCTCCAACAGACCCTAAACTGCGTGAACCCGGAGAATGAGAACTCACCTGAAATCCCTGTCAAAGTGCTGAACTGCGACACCGTCACCCAGGTGAAGGATAAACTCTTGGATGCCGTCTACAAGGGCGTTCCTTACTCTCAGCGGCCAAAGGCAGCGGACATGGACCTGGGTAAGATCATCTCTGCAAGGCTCATGGTTTATAGGGGAATCGATTAAAGAAATATTGAAAGAGTCTAAATTGGGTACGGCATTTCACATGTAATTACTGTTCAATGTAGTGACTATTTTTTGTAGCCAAAAGCAGCTGCCATTTGTGCCAACAGGAGCAGGACCGTGGGAGAAATTCCCTTTGTATGTGACTAAGGTCCTGCCTAGCTTTTGTCTCTGTGTCTTTCAAAGCCTTTCCTTGCAAGTTGGAGAGGCGAGCTTGCCTGTATATTCAGTGTGCTCTGAACCAGGAATTTACTGGATTGATGATAACGCCCCCGCTCTTCCTCCCTCAGAATGGCGCCAGGGTAGGATGGCTCGGATAATCCTCCAGGACGAAGATGTGACCACAAAGATTGACAACGACTGGAAGCGTCTGAATACACTGTCGCACTACCAGGTACCAGCCCGATAACAGCCCCCCCCCCCGCCTGCCCGCAGGCTGCTTAATAAACAGACACAATCCTCCTCCCACTCAATCCAGTTTGAATTCACTATTTGTAATTAAAGGATAATCGTGTAAACTAACCAATAGCTTGATCCCCTTCTGTGTTCACTGAAGAATTGGTAACCTTGTATCTTACCTTTGCAAAACAATGGTATTATTTCTCAGTACTTACGTAGAAATGCATAGAATGTTACAGTGTCGAAAGAGACCATTTGGCCCTATTAGTCCGCACCAGTGTTTATACTCAACATGAGCCTCCACCCCTCTTATTCCCCCCTCTGGTGCCCCTCTATTCCCTTTTCCTTCATGCACAATACAAAACCAAATTACATTTGTACAGCGCCTTTCATGTCGGGAGGAGATGTCCAGGGGCACTTGCACCAGCTGGTACGTACACCCCGCTGATTTCTTGATGTACGCATCGAGTTTCCTCTTAAATAGCTTGATGCTTTTAACTTCAACCACAATTCCTGACAGTGAGTTCCATATTCTCGCCATCATCTGCCTGAAGAAGTTCCTCCTAAACTTCCTCATAGATCTGCCCCTGGCTAACTTGTATCCATGGCTCCTCATTTTAGACTCACCAACAAGTTGAAACAGCCCTATCCAAGTCCCCCTTATCAAATCCTTTTGTAAACTCAAACACCTTGATCAAATCAAATCTATCACTTGTCTCGCTAGACTGTCGAGCCTTTTAGGGGCTTTGTCCCACAGGCTTGAGGACACACCTGCGGGTCTTCCTGACGAGCCGTGCGGGCTGGCCACCCGCCAGCACTGGTCTGGAGTTGCTGTGGCGTGGCCTGGCTTTGCTCTCAGTCTGCCGGAGCAATCTCAGTGGGCTCGTTTGATGCGAAAATTGTTAGTGGAGACGCTGATTTTGTGCTGATAATTTACTTTTTGCTCGCCCGCTGGAATTGGACTGACTGGGTCTGAGAGTTATTATGGACGCCAATCACATTGTGCCTCCGAGTGTGTGTTTCACGTGTCTCTCTCCGCTCATTTCTAAAATGTCTTTCAATAATGTAAAATGACTGGCGACAAAATGTATTGCGCTGGGCAGTGAGGGTTCCAAGTCAGCTTTTATGAGAAAGACCACGATTGATGTCAGTGTGTAAACCGGTGATTGAGTGCTGCTGGTGTGCTGAACGAGTGAGGAAGTGAATGAGATTGTGAATGGATCTCTTTCTCTCTCTGCTCAGTAGTTACTATTCATAGTTTCAATGATACTTGATCAGTGTTTGTAGGTTTTGGGGGATGGGTGGGTGGGAGGAAGAAGAGAAGAAGAATAAAATTGAGGGGAGTGGGTATCTCCATGTACTGTGTTTTCCCCTTCAGGTTCTTTGTTTGAACATAGGATCAAGGATAGGATAGGATCACAGTCTCCAATCTCTTTACAAGCCATACAATCTCTGTGGGAAATTAGTTCAGCCGATCTTAACCCACGTCCTAGTGGGTAGGAACCCAGGACTCCAAACTCTTTAGAATCCAGTACTAATTGACAGAGCTGCTAAATTTTTTTTAGAGCCCAGACTGAGATTGCCTACCTCCGCACACACCTGGTTATGATGCCAAAATCTTTCTAATGTGTGTGCCTGAGCACCATGTCACGCAGTTAGCTTACTCCCCCACCTATTGCTGCTTTCATTGAGCAACATTTCATTTCATTCATTGCAAAGATGTGCGTTTTGGAAATGACTTACTTAATAATAATCCTTGCATTTGATAGAGCCTTATCACACCTTCGAGACATCTCAAAGCGCTTTATGGAATATACTGTAATGACTGTATATCAGATTAGGGTGTTGAGAAAATGACCTTGTAATAATCCCCTTTTCCACTTCTCTTTTTAGGTTACAGACGCCTCGATGATAGCACTTGTACCGAAACAAACCTCAGCCTATAATATCTCAAACTCCTCCACCTTCACCAAATCCCTCAGCCGCTATGGTGAGTGGTTCACAGTGACATCTCCTGTAACCTGCTGCTTGCCTGTCGCCAGCAGATAGGAACCAAACAGGTTGCTTTACTTTTTACTAAATGGCTTGCAGTTATATCAAATGCAAGGATTATAATTTATTATTAATATTATTATCCTCTCGCCCCTGTGAGTCTGAGCGCTAATCAAGCTCACCTCCCAATTTTGTGTGGTGTTCCCGAGTTCATTTATAATTTCTCTATTAATGTCCATGGAGAAGTGGAGGCCAGGGTTGTGTGGTGGAGAGGTGGGCCTTGATACTTAATCTGGAGAATTTGCTCTGGGGGATGGAGAGGGTGGTCCTGAGGCTTATAATCGGGTACGTTCTGTGAGGCCGGAAGGGAAAGGCTCACATTTTCTCAGTTCCATGCTTTCTTGGAAACAGAATCGGGATTCGGTCAAAATCTTTTATCGATTTCATCCCCTTGTCTAGAGAGCATGCTGAGGACAGCCAGCAGCCCAGATAGCCTGAGGTCACGCACTCCCATGATTACACCAGACCTGGAGAGTGGCACCAAGCTCTGGCACCTGGTGAAGAACCACGATCATATGGACCAGAGGGAAGGCGATCGGGGCAGCAAAATGGTGTCTGAGATCTACCTAACACGTCTGCTTGCTACTAAGGTAAGAAGAAGTTGCCTGCAAATACTCACTACACTTTATAGTAAGGTCTGTGAAGCACTTGGAGGTGTTTCTTTTCAGTCACTTGACTTGAATTCAAAACCCTCGTTCTCACCTTCAAAGCCCTCCATGGCCTTGCTCCCCCCCTACCTCTGTAACCTCCTAACCCCATATCAGCCTGTCCACTCCCTCCGCTCGGCAGACAGCGGCCTGCTCTGGGTCCCCTGCACTTCCACCCCCCCCCCACCTGCCCTCCACCCCTCCTGACCCAACTCCCAACTCGGGTCCCAAACGCCTGATTGTCAAGCGCCCTGGGACGTCTTTCCGACGTGAAGTGTTCTATACAAGTATAAGTTGTTGTTGTTGTTGATAAGGCACTGTATGAAAAACAAGGATCACTAATAGGGGTAGTCACATTCTGGGAATAGAGAAGCAGTCACTGGGATTGTGGAGAGGGAGGGGAGCCCGGAGTGAAGGGCAGCAAAAAAATCCTTTTCTACAGAGCCTTTCACATGAAAGAAACGTCTCATAGAGTGCTTTATGAATTGAGATTAATGTGAAGTGAATGTTAATTTAAATTTGGATTACGAGGGAATATAAAACAGGATAATCAAGAGAAAAATTCCATGGTTGTGCGTATGTTATCAGTGTGAAGGCAGTCAGTAATCACCTTCCCATCACAGGTGCTGTGCAGCTTGTACAAACTGTCTTGAGAGATCCAGAGGCTCAGGGTTTCCTGCCTAAGGCGAACTGCAAAGCCCGTCTCCCAGCTCTGCCAGATACTGTCCGATCAATTGTATTTGTGACCTGATTCAGGCCAAACTGGGTTCTGCTCAGTTCAGGCTGAAAATGGACCTTTACCCAGCTCACAATCTGACCGTGATAATCCTTGCATTTGATATAGCGCCTTATCACGTCTTCGAGACCACTCGAAGCGCTTCACAGAATATGGTGTAAAATATATCCCAGAACTATCGTTCATTATTGCACAAGTCAGTTCAGCCGCAGATTCCTCTACGGCCCCACTTCTGAATATTTAGATGATAATGATAATCCTTGAATTTGATACGACACTTTATCACGTCGGTGAAAAGTCTCCACACTTTTCACAGGATATTTACTGTAATGCGTAGTGACTGTGTATTTTGTAGGTGAATTAGCAATAGGGAAAAGGAGCTCCTCACATTACTCGGCTGGTAAAGTCACTGACTGGTACGGACCTCAAGCCCGAGTTCACTTCTCTGTCTATCTTAGTTAACAACAACTTGCCCTTATATAGCACCCTCCATGTAGGGCAACGTCTCAGAGCGCTTAACAATGGCGAAGCCTGACTCCGAGCGGGGAGTAGGGAAGGGGGGGCTGGGGTGTGAGATGACTAAGCACGGTCAAAAAGGAATGTCTTAAGGCAGGACTTGAAAAAGGGGAGAGAGGGGGCAAGGCTGAGGGATTGAGGGAGAGTGTTCCAAAGTTTCGGGTCGTAGTGGCTGAAAGTACGTCTTCCAGTGGTGTAGCGGAGGGTTCGAGGGATGAGCAGGAGGCTAGACTTAAGTTGATGTGCTCACTTTTAGCTGTGAACGTAGAGTGAACCTGAGCTAGAGATGCGGTCAATTGAAGTTATCACTCCCAACAACACAACTTGCATTTATATAACGCCCTCCACACAGGGTAGTGTCCCGGAGCACTTAAGTTATCAAGTGACCCTTGTACGGAGAGAGAACAGGCAACGAGTGATGCTGCTGACGGTCACTGTCCAGGCTCACGCATGAGAATAGGCCACTTGGGGTGAAGTAGAGGAGGGGTACTGATGCCTATTGAACTGAACCCAATTCTGAATTCTGCTGTTGGAAAGGAAGTTATTGTTCTTTTGTATGGAACTCACTACCCCAAAGGGCTGTTGACGCTCAGTCCTTGAACATATTCAAGACTGAGATAGATATATTTCTTATTGCAAAAGGGATTAAGGGATATGGGGATAAGGCAGGGTTAGGTTATTAGCTGGAGTTAGATTAGAAGATCAGCCATGATTGAATGGCGGGGCAGGCTCGAAGGGCCGAATGGCCTACTCCTGCTCCTACATGTTATGTTCTTGTGTCTAAACTGGATTTACAGATGTAAAGTCTTCTCCAGACTTTTGTCAATCGCCACTTTGGCCAACTACTTGGAGGGTGAGGCTTTGGTCTGAAGTGAGGATTAATCGTGACTTCGGGGTTTGTCTTCTCAGGGCACCCTTCAGAAGTTTGTGGACGATCTGTTTGAGACGATCTTCAGCACGGCACACAGGGGCAGTGCCCTGCCTCTTGCCATCAAGTACATGTTTGACTTCCTGGATGAGCAGGCGGACAAGCACACAATCAATGACCATGATGTCCGACACACCTGGAAGAGCAATTGGTAAGTACCAATATAGAGGATCGTATCTAATTGAATCTGGGTGGGGATGAAATGGGGAACGATTGCAGATACCCAGTGTTTGGTGGGTCGGTGAGATACTTACCTTTTCAAAGAGGATTATTTTCATTACTCTACTTACCTTAGAACTAACAATGTTAATTTCTCACCCTCTTATTTCAGTCTACCTCTACGGTTTTGGGTGAATGTTATCAAGAACCCACAGTTTGTCTTTGACATTCACAAGAACAGTATCACAGATGCCTGTCTCTCTGTGGTAGCTCAGACCTTCATGGATTCCTGCTCAACCTCTGAGCACAAACTAGGCAAGGACTCGCCCTCAAACAAACTACTGTACGCAAAGGACATTCCAAACTACAAAAACTGGGTTGAAAGGTAGGCAAAGCACCCTGCTCTTTCTCTCTAAATTGTGCGTAATGAGGACTGGACCAAGTGCTCTTAACCAAGTGTTCTGAGTACAGGTTGGATGGTTGGTGCCAGCGGAATAACTTTGAGCTCAGTACAGGATTTTCAGCTCAAAACAGCTTTAAGATCTTCCCAACCTTTCCTGTTGAGTGAGATACAACTATATACAAGTTGTTATCGTTGAAATGAGGAGAAATACAACGGGGACAGGAATACAACTCTCTCCTTATTGTATAACTTTTGAAATTATATTGTAGATAAGGTTTTGTATTTTGTAACCCTTCAATTGTATTCACTTCCTCTGGCTCGTTACTGCTGGTTGTGTCTGGAGGCTGTGTGTGGGGGCCCATCGCACCTCTCAATCTAATAAATAATATAAATATATAATAAATAAAACCACAGAAGGTTTAATCTCTCGGATAATATGAAACGTTTGTCCACAACAAGCCATCACAACAATGCGCTGACCGCAAACTCATCTGGACAGCTCTAAACCGTGTGAGATGCTTACAGTCATATTCAGTCAATCAGTAGACCATTATGCCTGTGTGGCATTGCCATTGGGGGTGTGAGAGGACGGTCAGCTCAGTGTAGGGATCTGTTGATTATCCGTTTAGAATGCTGAGGTCTATATCAATGACAGTCACTTTCATCGGCGTGTGTTACTGATCATTCTTTCTTCCCTCTCCTCGAGGCCTCTTTCATGTTGTGTGCTCTGCTCTGACATTGACTTGTCTGAAGAGGAGACATGGCATGTGAGATTAGGCCTCAGGCCGAGGACGTAGGACATGTGCTAGAGGACACGTCTGTCTATCCGTCACCTGCCTGAACCAGATTCTAATCATAGAAACAGGAGTAGACTATTCAGCCCTTCGAGCCTGTTTCATCATTTTATAAGATCATGGCTGATCTGTACCTCAAGTCCAGTTGTCCGCCCTTGTCCGAATATCCCTTAATACCTTGACCTATCAAATATCTATCTACCTCCATCTTGAAAATGCGAATGGATCCAGCGTCCACAGCTTTTTGGGGGAGAGAGTTCCTAATTTCTTTGGGGGACAGATTTCTAGATTTCTTTGGGGGAGAGAGTTCCAGATTTTGGTTTCGATAAAAGCTCGGTTTCTTATTGCTCTTGGCAGATACTACTCAGATATCTCGAAGATGCCAGCAATCAGTGACCAGGACATGAGCGCCTACCTGGCAGAACAGTCACGACTACACTTGAGCCAATTCAACAGCATCAGTGCACTGCACGAGATCTACTCCTACATCAACAAGTACAAGGATGAGGTAAGGCTTAAAGTGGGTTTCCTGAGTTTAAACTTTCAGCTCTGCTGGACTAATATACTGGAGATATTCTCAAACAGGTCGCTTTGAAATATTTTCTCATTTTGTTGGTGGAGTTGTGGGGCGAGGTATTAAATAGAAGATAGTCTTGAGAGTTTCAGAACGAGCTGTTCAGAACGGATGGAACAAAACTCAGGCTTCCCTCAGCTTCATTACAGGAACACTTGTTCCCTTCAATTCAAGGCATATGGCACATTAGGCAGCAAAGCTTTACTGATGCTATTCTCAGAGTAAGCAAATGTATTGCATGTTTGAAAAGTCTCAAGTTCAACCACAGCCGACGTTGATTAATGATTTCAGTTGCCCATTCTTACATGCTTGGCCACCTGCTTTATCACACAACAATGATGTACTGCGCATTTCAGAATAGGTGGTTACCTCAGCAAGAAGCTGCCCAAATGTGTGTGCGCTTGTGCGTTATCCAATTCAGCAATAAAGCTGTCACTGACTCAAAAAGTCCTTGTGTAAATGCTGTAGCACCTCTTCAATTACGGGGGCCTTACGTTGTTTGCATGTAAGAGTCCTTTTCCCATAACTATTCAAGTTTAATTTGAATATCTGTATCAAGGTTAAAATATGTAGGGGTCTGTTTGCTCATGCTAATGAGATTTTCACTATAAGCGCGGAGGGAAATCTTCCGGAGCCTGAGCGAAAACAATCTGGGGATTAACACAAGGTTGTGCAACTATTCTGAGACTGTTAGTATGTCTTGTTTAAGGAGAATTACTTGCAGCGATCTGCTTCAAATCCTAACTGACACCAGAGCAAGAGGCAGAAAGCCACGCTGTTGCCTCTAGTGAGAGGTAGTGTCACCTCGCCAGGTGTGTTTTGACTCCCATTGCCAGAGGAAACCGAACCTGGGAGAGAGAGGATTAAAGGTTCCCCCAAGAGGGGGGCTCTCTGTGGAGACTGGCAATTAAAGAGTGGAGATGTGGGAAGATGAATATTCTGTTTAATTAATTGGGGTGGAGGTGGGGGGGGATCAAGGCATTTATGCAGAACTTGTGCTCATGAGATTGAAGCATTGGCTGGAGTCCATGACAGCTTAGATGGTGTATGGTTTGGGGAAGGTGTTGCCCCAAAAATGTACTTTCTGATGTTTCTTATATAACCGCCCGGCATTACTCTGCTTCACAAACGCTTCAAATCGACACCGGGCTCTTTCAGGTTCTCGACACCAAAAGCTATTACAGCAGAATAGCTTTCTGTCATCACGCTCCTTCCTGACAGTTCTTGGCCTGGAAACTCGTTCAATATCTCAAATTGTATTTGACCAACATATGAAAAACAAAACCGTTTCTATGGAGAACGCTTAAAGAGAGCCAGCACAGACACGATGGGGGCCAAATGGCCAGCTTCTAAATTCTGTGCCTTATATATCAACAACAACTTGCCTTCATATAGCACACTTCGCGAAGGGTAGCGTCCTGGAGCACTTGATATGTTTATATCGGGCACAGATTACCAGCTGTTTTTTTTAGTTGTCCGGCACAGTGTATAAAACATCAAAACTCCAGCCCCTACTTTCGTCTGTCTCCCTTTCATCCTCAATTTACAGAGTTTTTAAACGCTGGCTGGTCCGGTTGGCCTGAGGTGTTTAGCTCACTGGGTCTGTTACCCAGGAGAAAATGCTGTGCTAGACAAGGCAATTGGTGTCTCTGGAGACACCAGGTGAGAGTTTGTCCCCCCACCTTTCCCCACTCTCTCTCTCTCTCACTCACTCTCTCTCCGCCAGTGACTGCTCCCTCCAGAGACCGATGTTTAACCTACAATGCGGCTGACGATGCTGGCTCCCAGCGATGCTGTCACACAGTAAATGCAGCATTAGCTTTCTGCCACACGCAGATATGTAATGCGATCAGCAACAATTTACATTTATATAACTCCAGTTTACATCAGGACGGAGGAGGAGCAGAGCTGAGGAGGAACGACAAGCTAGAAGTTGGCCAAAAGCACAGTTGAAGAGACGGGTCTGAAGGTTTTAAAGGTGGGGAGGGAGGGAGTGGTAAGGTACAGGAAATCCGGAATGAAGTTCCAGACAGCAGGGAGAGAATGCCCGAATTTAGTGGGACCCGTGAAGCAGGCTGGAGGTAAACGGTGCTGAGCGAAGGGAGCAGGGGCGCTTGGGTGGGGTTGCAGGAGGTCACCGAGGTAGGGAGGGGATGAGGTTGTGGAGGGATCCGAAAGTGAAGACAAGGATCTTGAGTCCTGAGGGCTGGGGAGCCAGTGGGGTTGAGTAAGGGGGGGTGGTGGGCTCGCAGAGACTGCTCCTGGAGAGGACGTAGCCTCTTGTGTGGAGCTCTTGATGGTCTGATCACAAGGATTTGCAACAAGCTGGTTTTGGAAGTGCTCTAAAGGGAAATTTATCTAAACGGTGCATTGACTGCACTCACGCTGACGCATTTGCCAGCGTGCACAGTCACAACACCAATCGGAAAGCCCTTGAAGAGCTGTCAAGCATCTCCCCCTCTTTAATCTTGATTTACATGCCTCTCTCACAATCAGATCTGTATTTTATTTTGTTCATTAAACGGGAGTTGTTGTTGCTCCTGCAGTCAGTCCATTCATCCGAGTGTCACTTATTATGCATAATTGCAGCACCAGCGCACAAGTAAAATGGCAAATTGATTGTTGCATTGTCTCTCCGAATAATGCTTTCCATTCTGAGTGAGCGGAGTTTATTCATTCTCCCTTTTATTTTTTTCAAATTCATGTTTTCCCTAATCATTTGCTCCCACTTGCAAAACACGGAGAAGGCGAAAGTGGGCTTTTTATTAATTGTCCCGCTTGTCGGGCTTCTCTTTGTGCTTTATTCTAATGGCCCTTTTTTTGTGCCCGCCGATCATTGTCAGACTTGGCAGCCTCAGACCTGCCAGTAGAGTTGTCGTTCGTTAACCCAGAGAAGTCTGAGCGAGCGGGAATGATGCCAGTACTAATAACCCTTCCATTGCCACGCTGTGGGATAATGTCTGCATTGATGCCATGTTAAACGGGGGACGTTTAAAGAGGGACGTGTGACCCCTCACAACCTTTTCAACAATCAGCTTGTTGCGGATGATTGTGATTAAAATGTTATTTCTTTGCAGTCAGTGTGTATGTGGGGGGGGGAGAGAGAGAGATAATGTGGCATTTATTGTATGACTGCATTGCTGGCAGCTGAATTGTCATTGCTTTGGGGTTAAACGTCTGAAAGCAGCAATTGCTGGCAGAGAGAGAGTCGGAGAGGATTTTGCTTTCAGTCGGACACGTTGTAGCACTTTTCTTAAATCCCTCTGTTCATTCTTTCTCTCTCTTTCTCCCTCAACGTCTCCGCTTTGAAATCCCATCTAAGAACCTGCACCGACCATCCGAACCATACATCCCTCCCCTATCTTGCACCCTACACCTCTCCCCATCTCCCATCCTATAAGCCCCCTCCCAATTCTTACTCTATAAACCCTCTATCCCCCAGCCTACAACCACCCACCCCTCCCAATCTCCTACCCTAGACACACCCATCACCCCACTCCCTTCTCCGACCCTACACACTTCAACTTCCACCTTCCATCCTACGCAGACTCCCACTCTTGTCTCTGTAAAGACCTGTGAGATAGTTTCATAGGTAGAGTTGAAGCTCTGGGTGATATCCCACATGAAGGTAGGTATATAAATAAAGTGGTTGTTGGTTGGAGGTGAAGTGCTGGGTTTGGGAATGTTCGGCAACTCTCGTGAGGTCAGTACACGTGGATTGGGGTGGACTCCTGGCACACTCTACACCTGATGTTCTAACCTCTTTCACTCAGCCAGACTGGCCACTTGGGGTATCTGCTTATGTCTGATGCTGTACTGGCAAGAGTTGGGAGAGAAGAATAATGGGAGCAGGTGAATGGAGAAGATACTGTTTGGTGGTGCATTGAAGCTGACGCTTGACTTTGGTTCTGCATAACTAAAGTTATTTCAATATTTTAATTTACACAATAACCGAGCTTGCGAGTGGAAGCAGACTGCAGGTACAATGGGATTTCCACTCGCCTAGTTTCTCCAATTTTCATTATAAACAGTTGTTGCAAGTTAACATTAGGGAATGAAGGAATTATAAGTTAATGAGGGAAATAAATGAATAATTATTAGAGTTGGATTCAGCTGATTTGCTGGTGGCTTAGAGTTAAGAGACAACTGAAGGTTTCTTTGTGTTCTTCGTATTCTCTTCCCCCCCAACAAAAAAAATCAATATTCAAGCAGAATAAATACATAATTAACTTGTCCTTTTCACTGTTGGGTTTGGAACAAAGCCAATTATATCCTCCGCACCACCTTTTGTTTTCCCACAGAGTAAGGGGAAGGATGGCAAGGAGTTTGGAAGAAAACTTAACTCATTGAAGGATTCAAATGACAAGCTTGAGGGTTCTGTTGCTCTCCGAAGCTGAAGATGATGATAATAATCCTTGCATTTGATATAGTGCCTTATCACGTCTTCAAGACGTCTCAAAGCGCTTCACAGGATACAATGTAAAATGTAGTGACTGTTTTGTGGGCGAGATGTAATAATAATCCTTGCATTTGATATAGTGCTTTTCACGTCTTCTAGACGTCTCAAAGTGCTTCACAGATTTATGCTGTAAAGTGAATTGACTATATTTTTTTGTGTGGGCAAAATGCGGCAGCCAATTGCGTACAGCAGTGTCCCACAAACAGTTGTAGATTGAAGTAGATTATTGTTTTTTCTTGAGGGATTATTATTAGATGTGTGGAGTAAGAAAACTTGCCGAAGGTTTCGTCCTGCCGGTAATCTACCCAGGTCTTCGCTTGCGAGGCGAGTGCTCTAATCACTGAGCTACAGGACTCCACAATGTAATTATGTTCATGGTCATAGCTCTTACCAGCTTCTGAGAAGTAAGCGAAAGGGTCAAATAAAGTGTAAGCAGTGGGCTTCTATCTTTTAAACTCTTGTTTTGGGGAAGTAGATAACTTATCGCATTGAAGTGAAGTGTCTCAAAGCACTTACAGGTAATCGCTGTCAAGTGCAGTGAAAATGCAGTGGGTATTTATGCCAAGAAAGTTCCACAGAGAGTGATACATTGAATGACCACTGAATTGGGTGGGGAAGCTCACCACATATGTACAATAAAATCATGAGCGGCTCTTCCCACAGCCCCAGTGCAGGATCCTACCAGGGTTTAATAGACGAGAGTTATATACAATGGCGTGAGTTGGACGTGGGCCATTTAGCTCAACTAGTCCGTGCCACACAGAAAGGTGAGAGGGAACTCGAGAGGTACTGTTTGGCTGAGCAGGGAAGAGTGAAGGAGGTTAAGGTCCTGGGAAGAATGAGAGGAGAATGGTGTAGTGAAGATACAGGGAGGAGGAAAAGCATGTGGGCTGAAGTGTTTGTTGCTGAGAAGGACGAAACAAGAGAGAGAGAGAACAGACCCAGTTAGTTGTTGAGAAAGTGTGGGCCACTTTCCTGTTAACTAGCAACAGCTGTGAACTACTTAAAACCTACCTCTTCAACTCCCTATGGTGTATGTGTCGTCCCTGTTCTCCCCCCTATGCCCGTCTTAAGCGCTCCGAGACATTATCCCGCAATTAATACTATATAAGTTGTTCTCAGTGATTTGTTGACACTTGATGATGTCAGTGAGGAAGAATGTAGATGATTTCATCAGCACGTGTTCGAGAAACTGAGTAGTTGACAACCATAGGATTTTGCAGTCAGCATAGAAACCCTTGTAGCTCCCTCCCTCCGCTCCTGGATAGCCATCCAACAATCCATCTTCGCTTATACAGTAGAATCCCCTCTTTCGACGCAATACAATCACGACTTTCATTGAGGAATGTGCTTGACTGTTTTTTCGAACATACTTGAGGTTTGTTTTCCCTGACAACAGTCATTAGATGTTGAATAGTGTTGTAATTAGCTGAATAATGTTAAAGGCTTCGGGAGAAGGCAGGTATTGTACGGTATGTTAATTCGCTGTTGTGTTCCATGCTTTGGCTGAGGGTCACGGCTGCCTGAGATCTTAATCGAATGAATAATTCATCTTTTCCTGAGAAGGGCATTCAGCGAGTAGGGTGATTTGAGCAAATCCAGACTGGTCTGTGAATGAAGCTTGCTATGAAGGGTATATAGGGGGGAGTTCAGCAGCAGTTACTGAGAGTTACTGATGTTTCTGGGTGGGTGGGGGAGCAGTGGGGGGGGGTGCAAGGATGCTGGCAGTGTCTTGGGACGTCCTCCGGATGTGAAAGGCTCTATACAAATATAATTTGTTGTTTGTTGTTGGCTGTGTCCAAGGAGGACTCGAGGACACCAGCCTGTGCAAGCTGGTGATAGCTGCTCTTGTTACAGTGTTGTGGTTGGATACTGCAGAGTGATATGCTTTCCAAGCTTTCCTCCAAAGATGTGTTAGTCTTGTGAATGATGTAATGGAGAGGAAGGAACACAGATGTGAGGTCTTTAATATAGGGGGGAGGAGGGAGGGGCAAATCTTTCCTTTTTTGCTTTTTAAGTGAGTACAGTGTTCTTGACTTAAACACCCAGTATGGCAGCCGATTTGCGCACAGCAAAGACCCAGAAACAGCCATAAAGTGATTGACCAATTTTATCTGAAGGATTGTTAGCCAGAAAACTGGGAGAAACTCCCTTCTCTTTCGACTGGAGCCATGGGATCTGTAAAGTCCACCTGAACAGGCACAGAAGGTTACCTTGGTTTAGTGTCTCATGTGAAGCACGGCACCTCCAACAATTCAGTGCTTCCCCCAGCACTGCATTGGAGTGTCGGCATAGACTGTGAGTTCAAATCCCGATGTGGGGCTTGAACCCAGAAATCTGACTCGGAGGCAACGAGAGAACTTCCAACTGAGCCAGGCTGACACTTCGATGCAAGTAAAAGGAAGGGAACAGCTCAGGAGAAGAGAAAAGTGGTGACAAAATAAATGGGATGATTATGCCAAGCAAATGTGTAAATGGAATGTCTGCTTGTCATCAATCAGAGCAGCAGTGCACAGACAGTATTTGTCTATTAAATGTAGTACCTGCAGTGATATTGATGGAGCTCACTGACTCTTCGAAGCAGCCTAATTACACGTGCAGTAAATGCAATGATTCACTTAATGAAATGGTTAATAAAGCACCAATTCTCCTGGCTGATCACGGGCTCAACATCCATTAGGTGTTTAATTGGAATCTCGCCTGATCAGCGGTAGATGAGCAGTTTAAACGTTGCTGTGGACATGATTGAAACACGCACCTCACGTGGGGTGGCACAGACAACGCCGCCACGACAGAATCGTCAGCTGGCTGTGCAAGATGACATTCAACGTCCACAAAAAACATAATCCCCGTTGAAATCCAACCTGATGCTCACCAGCCCTGAGTGTGCTCACAGTGCCAGCAAAGCGAAGCTTTCCCTTTAACTTCCTTGTTGATGTAATTTATCCCGACGGACAGGTTCTGAATTTTTCTTTACGTTACCTTTTGTAGATAAGAGAGGTACATCAGAAGTTTGAACTTGCAATCTCGGAAGGCACTGCATTGTCAAAGGTGCCGTCCTTGGGATGAGACATTAAACCAAAATGGTGTCTGAACTCGTTCAGGTGGACTTTTAAAGGTTCCTTGTCGCTGTTCGAAAAGAGAAGGGAGTTCTCCCCGTGTCCAGGCCAAGAATCCCTCAGATAAAATTGGTCATTCACTTAATGGCCATTTGTGGGACATTGCTGTATGCAAATTGGCTGCCACGTTCCAACACACAGTCACTACACTTTACAACAAAATCCTGTGAAGTACTTTAAGACTGCTCGACGACGTGATAAGGTGCTACATCCTATGCAGGGTTTATCATCCAGGGTTTATTAAAGAACCAGAGGGGAGATGAGGAGAATTTTTTTTGCGCAGTGAGTTGTTACGGTGTGGAAGGCTGAAAAGGCGGTGGAAGCAGATTCAATAATAACTTTCAAAAGGGAATTGGTTATATCCTTGAAAAGGAAAAAATTGCAGGGCTGTGGGAAAAGAGCGGGGGCATAGGATTGATTGGGTGGCTCTTTCAAAGAGCCGACACCGGTACGATGGGCCAAATGACCTCTTCCTGTGCTGTTAAGATTCGATGAAGTGTTACTGCCAAACCAATGGCCGGCGAAACGACTGCTGAACAGTTTGGAAAGGAGTCGCTTTATTGGAGTTGGTGATTAATAATACAACAATAATAATAATCCTTGCATTGGACGTAATGTCAAAGCTTATCACATCTTCGAGACTTCTCAAAGCGCTTCACAATATACTGCAGAGTGAATTGTCCGTAAATTTTGTGGGCGGAATAATGAACGGCATTTGTCTCTCTCTCTCTCCCCCCTTCAGATCTTGTCCGCCCTTGAGAAGGATGACCAAGCCCGGAGACAGCGACTGCGGAGTAAGCTGGAACAAGTCATCGACGCAATGGCCTGCAGCAGTTGAGCGGGTGCCGTGGGAGAAATCGCGGTTGACGCCCAGTACTGGAAGCGTGTGGGGGAACAGGGGGACTTGAAATGGAGCAGTGCACCTGGGGGTTCAGGGGGATTGAGCACTGAGCAGCGTTGGAGACGACTCGGCAAATTCTCCTGCCACGTTACATGGGTCATGTGACGGGCGGACGGGCGGGGATTGGGGGGGGGTGGGGTGGGGTGGGTGGGGGAGAGAACCGCACGACGCAAACACACCGGGACCTTTTCACTGGAATTGCCAGCTCGCTCCGGTCTCCCTACCAGTAGTGTTACTGCTAAATTTGCACAATTTACAATTTAAAAAAAAAGCGGAGAAAGAGGAGGAAAAAAAAAATGGTGAAAAAAGAATAGTGTTTCGACTTTTAAAGAAAGATTGTTCTCGAAAATCGGTTCCATGAGAGCGTTGATGTCTCAATGTGTCCCGTGCCATGTTTTTATTTGAATGTTCCTTAGTGAGAAGATTTGTTAGTTGACTGTGCTATAATTTAAGTGTAACATGCCTAGTGACTGAAGGGTGTGTGTGTGTGTGTAAAAAAAAATGAGGAGAGAAAATAATAATATGGGCGCGGAAAGTTGCTGAGAGGAAATTGTCGTCGGGAAGGACGAGGGGGAAAGAGAGAGAAGAGAGAGAGAGGCGGAAAGTGAGAGAAGAGAGTCGGCCCTAGAAAAGCATCAAAATGGGCAGAATTTTGACCGCAAATGTCGTTAGCTTTATTTTCTAATGCTGAAATCTGTGAAGGTGTACCTGATTGAGCAAATACAAGATGGTGGTGGGGGGAAAGGGGGATACGGGGGAGAAGAGGCTATGTTGAGGGACCAATGGAAAACAAAATGGTTGTTGCTGTGGCGTTGAGGATGAGTTCTTTTTCTTATTTAAGACTCGAGTTTACTCCAGCGAGTTTTACTTCCTGCTTTGACTTTCCCTTTACGTCTGGACCTGTCTGTCAGGTTTTTCCTTTCTCCCCCCTTGCAGGAGATGGAGTTGAAAGGGAAGGTGACTTGCCCTTTAAATTCCAAAGTGTTACAAGTGGTTGAGGTGTTGTGGTAAATCTTTGCACTTAGCAGCATCTCTCAGTTGGCTCCTGTAGTTTGTGTCAAAGCTGTCTGCTAAAAGCAACCTGGATGAAGCGGTTCTATCCTGATCCCACATCACACTTTAAAGAGTGCTCCCACTTGTCATCTGCCCTTCACGCAAAGGCCCACATCTATCCTGCGATCCTGGCTTGTTCACAGGACTGCCTCCAGAAATAGAAAATAAATATGATCCTTGCCAATTAATTCTCTACCCGCTCGTCGAGGAGCCGAGGTCCTGGAGAGTGTCTTCAGGTACGAGTTTCGGGCTTCAATTAAATCATTTCACGCAGGTGAAATTCCCCTTTTTAACATTGTCAAGTCAGCAAAACGTCCAAACCACACGGCCTCTAAATTATAAAACACGGCAAACTGAGGTGACTGAAATGCCCGAGCAAATACAGATAAGCGTCCTTTAGAACCTGACTATTGAGCTTCATTGGAAGGATTCCCCTTGAACCTTTATGTAGGAAGTCACAACATGAAGTGATGTACTCCAAAAGATTATCATTTTACTGCCATTATTGCTGCAGCTAGTTTTGCAATTACTCTTGAGAAAATGAGGGGCAATAAATGCAGCCAGAGAATTGCCCCTTAGAGGGAGCAATCCTGGTCTGTGCTATTAATTAATCATCTGGTTAATTTGGTACAATATTTCCCTGGAAGAAACGATATCGAGCACAGGCTGTATTTGCTTTACCACTTAAGCTCCTTGCTTCAAGATAAACTACCTAGCATCACTACCAGAGAAATGAGTCCCTCTTTGATTTTCTTTGACTCTTTCGGAGAGGGAGGGAGGGAGGGGTTTCCCAGGTTTCCTTAATTGCTGTATTTGCTGATTATTCACAGGATTATAAAGCCCGATAATGATTGACGCAGGAGCCAAGGTGCTTGAAGAATTTGAGGCTTCAGAGTGACTTTCATTATCGCTCGCATCTTTTATCAGCAAAGAAACGGTTGAAATACTTATTGTTCCAAATCACTGAAAGCTGCAGTCGAGGTATTTTCGATGAATTGGGTATATCTCGCTGGGATTTGTTTTTCACACTCTGATCAGATTCCTTTAATTAAACAGTTTTAGTGTTTACATAACCTAACCCAAACAGCCAAGCAAAGACATCTGGCTCAAAACCCGAAGCAAGGAGGAACACACAAAGGGGGAGATTCATGTAGCATTATTATACTGCAAAAGCCTCCAAGCAGTTGGAGAACTGGAGGAATTTAACTTGTGAATGGCAAGATCTGAGGAGTGAAGAATACAATAGAAATTGTCTATCAATTGATCGGGAGAAGTTGGTGTTTTAATTTCAGTCAGCCCACCCTTGACAGCCAGCCCACCCTTGACAGCCAGCCCACCCTTGACAGCCAGCCCACCCTTCACAACAAGCCCACCCTTCACAACAAGCCCACCCTTGACAGCCAGCCCACCCTTGACAAAACCCAAGTGCCATGGATTGTGGACCAGGGTGGGGCTGTGGAATGCGTGGCTCGTCATGCAGAAAGTTGCTTGTGTCTTGGTGACACAAGGTATTGGGACTGTACACCTGGTTCTCTCACAGGAGTCCCTTCACTGTGAGGGGTCTGAAGCTGTAAGAGTGGAGGACCCATGTTGGACAGGGTTTCACATACTTCGGAGCAGGTTGAGTGAGTCACTGAGGGATTAGAGTTGATCACAACACATACCACCCAACCAACAAACCTAACTTGCCTGTTCCCTACCATTGTGATCTGTAACAGTAGTTTAATTTATTCTGAGAAAGATTTGATTCTATCACAAGAATAGCCACAGAGAGTCATGTAGGTTAACAGTATCACACAAGCTCACCCAATGTCTATCAGCAGACAGCCATAGAATAATGATAATCCTTGCATTTTATGCAGTGCTTTTATCGCACCAACCAGACGTCTCAAAGCACTGCATGGGATTTACTGTGTAGTGACTGTATTTGTAGGTGAACATGGCAGCCAATTTCTGGACAGTAATGTCTGACAAACAATCATGAAGTGAAGGAGCAATTTTATCGTAGATTGTTGGCCAAGACACGGAGAGACTCCCTTCTCTTTTCGAATAGTGCCATGGGATCTTTAACCATCAATGGGATCTTGAAAGTCACAACGTGGAACTTGAATACACAACCTTCTGATTCAGAGGCCAGAGTGCAACCAACTAAGCCAGATTTACACCTAAAAGCTGATCTTAGCAGAAGTTGCAATAAGGAGTTGGTTTCAGTCTCTCTAGGCTAAGGATGGAGAAAATCAGCAAGGTTTCCTGTTGCTATTTGCTATCCAGCAACCTCTGCTTGTGAGGACAGGATTGGAATCCCTCCACCTTCCACAGTAAATTGCACTGCCAGAGAACCTGTGGAAATGTAGCACTGATAGTCAGAAAATGATCCAATTGCCTTCAAGGTGTGTCTGTGTGGGGTGGGGGGAGGAGGAGTTGAGGAAAGAGAAGTGCCAGAGTTGCTTTCAAGATTGAACTGATTAATATTCACAAGTACATTTTTCTTATTGCTATACCAACCGGCATAATGGGTTCACATCCTGAGATAGTTTTAGTTTCTATCAATGAGGAAAATTAGGACCGTCGTGTGGATGAAGATAATTCGGGTTCATGGAGGAGATGAACTACTCAACTCCTTCTACGTGATTTTAATCGTTGAGTAATATATCAGTGAAAGCAGAAGCAAAATTGATCTAAATACTCTGTGGTCTACAATTAATATCCTCAAACCATCTTGCTATTAATTCTCTCCTGACATTGCTTTGGTGAGGAATGTAGAACAAAAGGCAGAAATCAGATTACAATATGCGTGTGTGCTGTGACTTGATATTTTTTGGGTGGGGGGTGCAGGGGGTGGGGAAGAAATCAATTTCAGAACAAATACTCAAACTGAATTCTCTGGCCAGTCGCTGTGAACTTTGTGCAGTCAAGTCTCTTGTCTGAAGAACGAGACATTACCACCGTTCTTCTTGTGAACGGCAAGACTTCTGGTCTTCACCTTTGTAAACAGTGAAGAACACGGAACCCATTTTGCTTTGTTGTGATTCTTACTGAAGGAACTCGTGTTCTCATTCGAGTCCTTCCAGCAGCGTATCTCACAGACAGCTTCGATTCAGAAGTACCGTACTTGTGTATTGTCATCATACAATGTCACCCTCCCCCCCACCACCGTGCTGGCCTGGATGGTAAAAGGAAGTAAAAGGCAAATTGCTAACTCACAGTTTTTTGAAGGTGACCTTCCTTGACACTGCCTTTCTTCAGTACTTACTATGTAACTTTCAAGGTTAGTAGACATAGCAGGGGAGGGGTGGGGGCGGCGGGAGGCATTGCTCAACGGTCAGAGGTAACTGAGCAGGAAATGACATTGATATTCCATTAGGGGAGCCCTGACCCCCACACATGCTGATCGAAGGAGAATGAGGAGCGAAATGGCCACTGACGAAGGGAGGGAGAGAGGAAATGCAGATTGATGCACAACTTTTAAGCCGCCTCAGAGCAAACCCTGTGAATAGCCCTTAAACATTATTTATAATAAAATTTCAAAGATGGTTGGATTGCCAGATAATTTTTTTTGGTTGACCAAAATCTCTAGTAACTTTTTTGGTGAGTGATAGTACAGAGCTCTTTTTTTTTGCTTTGGGTTGACTGAACTAAGCCTCAACAAGAGAAAAGACAGTGAGCGAATGAGCACAGAAACAAAAACTATATTTTGAAGGTCAGAGTACCCTTAGTTGTGTTGTATTCATGTCTCTAGTTTGTGGACTGGAGCCCTATTGCATGATGGAGCTAGATTTTAGTATGTGGTTTTACTCTTTAAGTGCAAGTGCAAATGTTCAGTAAAGAGGTCAGGAAAAAAACCTCTGGCTTTTTCTTACGTTTTTCTCACCACTTGTATGAATAGTTAATTAACTGTATGACTCATTTCATTAAATGGTACTAAAAGTCTACTTCTGGTTTAAGGNAAAAAAAAGTTAAATGCAATCAAATTTTAATACTATATTAAGATTACTGATTAAATTTATAAAATTGTTTCAGACTTGAAGCGACTGTAACAATTTGGCTGTGTAATGCGCGAT